AGAGCTGATCTAACATGCATCCCCAAGATATCAACCCCCATATACCATTGACGGGTGGTGACTGTCTCTACAAGCTTGGAGGTAAAGAATATCCCAGCGAGAACGTATCCTTCATGAGGGAAAATCTCCTTCCCTCCGAGATAATCAACAAAGTAGCTGATCAAGTAAGGCCCTACGTAGGACACGAGAGTATTCAACCCAGCGAAGACGGCGTTGCAAGCTGCTTCTTTCCAAAAAGATTTCAGAATCGCACGGGCTAAAGAAGGAGGCTTTGAAGGATTTTCGGACTTCGATCTCTTCCAATTCGACTTCAAGACCTTGTAACTCGACTTGGCTCTATCCTTTGGTGCAAGAAGCGGTATATCCTTGAGCTCGAGCGGTCTTTTCGAACCAGCTGAGAGAAGTGGATCTAACCAAGAGAGAGTGACTAGGCTAACTAGTCCAGCACTGCTGTATGGAGTAACTTTGAGACAAGCTGCATCTTCCTCTACGAGCAAAGGCTCTTGAAGATCAGAAGAGCTTCGGCGAACTTCAATACCAGAAATGCCTCTCAACGCCACAAAGCAAAGAAACCCGAGAGCAGGCGTAACAGCTAAATTGGCCACGACATGAGAAGAGCATCCGCTCCAACCTTCAACCGCTAGCCTCGTCCCGTCCATGTACAGAGTACAGAGACAAATCGAAAACGACAAGAACCACCATATCCTAAGCAACAAGGGTAACTTCTCTGATGGCTTGTATTTCAAATGAAGAACTAAGCAGCCAAGGACAAACCAAGCTAAACCCTGAGCAGCTGGTAAGCAAAGAACAGACCAGTCACTGACTCCTCTTATAACCCTAATCCCATCAAACCCTGACACCAAAACTTGCACGCCCAACACGTAGAAGCAACAGAACAAGGATAATTTGAAGCCAATCCCAAAACTAATGTCGTTGATCTCTCTCTCCGAGCTAACATCGCGGGTAGAAGCTGAAACCGCGTCTTCCTTGGAGAGCCTATCTCTGCCTCTTCTCACGCAGACGAGAATCTGCCTGGCGGAGAGAGCGAATAGAAACACCACAAAAAGCGTGAGGTTGGTGAAGACCGAGCAGAGCTCCAACAGTGGCAAATGCTCTACAAAGATCAACGAGATCTCGTTAAAAGCCATGATCGAGAGATTTGTGAGACGAGTTTGTTTGAGATCAACCGGCGGATTGTTCGAGCTAAAACGAGCATCTCACACTAGGCCCCAAAACCGAAGCTGCAAACAAGAAAACCAAAACAAAAAACCAGAGAGACGATGAATCTCTTTGTCAAAGTCTATCGACACATTGCGAATCGAAACAAATCGAGTTTCTCTGCGTAACCCAACACGTGGAATCAATCGCAGAGATACAAACAGAAGCAAATAAACAAAAAACAAATAGAAAACATGGCGGTGCGTTTGGTCCTTACCAGCTTTGGTAGATCAAAATCGAAAGGTCCCAGAGAGAAGCAAATCAGCTGGAACCAGACGTCACTCGGGAAATCGAGAGAGACGAAGAAGCAGAGAAAATCTCTCTCTCTTGGCTTAAATTAAAACTCAAAAAGAGAGTCTTTTCTTCTCTTTCTCTCTGATTCCTCTTCCGCAAAAAGGAAAAAAAAATGCAAAATTTACGGGTCGATTCGATTGTGTATATTAGTCGTGAAAGAAGAAGATTGGAAATCAATAAAGGCGTTTTCCTCCTGTCGCCTTTTCTTTCTTCGTGGGCTTACTGTGTATATTGTTGCTTAGTGTAATAAATAAAGCTGTAACACCTTTTTGGGTGCTTACGATGCTTCACGTCCATATCAAAATGTGAGTGTGTTTCTACTGCGACCTTTTTGTTTTTGGTTTTCAATAAATCTTTATGATTGATTGATTGATTATATACCATTAATTCTTCTTCTTGTAGTATTATTGACCACTAATTTCCATAAAAGCGTCTATGATTAACCACATTTAAGCATACCGTAATTAAGCAGCAATGAATATCGCTTTTTACGTTTTTATTCTCTCGATTGTTTCATCCTTTTATAAGTATTTGGGATACAATGGAGGAGGAACCTTATACGACGGTCCATGGAATATTCTTGCTACACGTGAGGATGTGTGTTGTCAGCAATATTAGATCAACTATTTAGCTGTCGGTTCTTGCAGCTCTATTTTTACAATATTTGCTTATTAATTTTATATAATGGGTTCCGTGCGGTACTACACTTATTGAACGTTTTCTTATTTCATTTGTATAAACTGGAGATAGATACGTTATCATTTTAATATAATAGAAACAAAACCAATTTTATGTCTCTGCACTAAACGATGAGACTAATGTGTCACCTTTGCAAAACTGGTCTGATGTAATCTATTGATCCAAAAACTACTTTAAAAAGCAACAAATTCAACTTACGTTTAAACCTATATAGCTATATGTTTTTCAGATGCAGATCAGTCTTTAGTAACAAACTAATTTATCAGTATAAAACGTATATCCACCAAATTGGGCGTATCATGGTCGGTTAATTAAATTAATTATGAGTCCGAATCTACGTGCATTCAAGTGATAATGTGTGAGACTATTTTAACTGAAATGGTGGACATGGGAATATAAACTAATATAATGGTGAATAGGAGGATAGAGATATACCAAACATACTTTTTAATTTAGCGCCCGTATGTTGGTTCGTGGAGACAAGATTCAATGTGCGGATGACGACTTATCATCACACATGCCATGCAAATGCTTCTTACGTGGCATAACATTTTCTAATACATGATTAATGTCTATTATTGCTGACTAATACACATTAAAGAAGTATTACGTAAGGAGATTCATCGTCACTAATTTTATACATAACTGACGTATTAGTGTTGGTTATGGTTTTTTTTTTACATTTAATACATATATAATACACAGTACGTTAAACCATTCCTAGTTCGCAATGAGGATTGTACATTTTTTCCCGGTTTTATGATGATGTTAACAATCTAGAAGCTATGATAATGTATTATAATTTTAAACAGAATAATGATGATTTAATATAAATTTTCACGATAGTTTAATATTATTGACGCAGCATAGTTTTGTCATTTGCGTTTGTTTGGTATCGTCATGGCTTTGTTCAAACCTTTTTTGTGCCACTTCCAGGATAGGCCAGCTCACTTCCCACTTTCTTTTATTTGTTCGTTTCTTGCTTTATACGTGTATAATATAAAAAAGCAATTTCTAAAAAAAAGGTAGCTTTTCATAGACAAAAAAAAAAATGTTTACGTTACTCAATTCACGATCAATATATATGAAGCAAATGTACTTAATGTGGAATAGCATAATAACCAGACATAACAATGATGATGAAATGTACATATTACCTAACACATTTCTCTCACATGTCCCTATTTTATGGGCCTATGTGAGCTACGAAGCGTCTTTATGGGCCTAACACGAAATATTGGAACGTTAATAAAGCTACTCTGCGAGTTGTAGAATACTGTTGTATTCATTTATCATATGGGTGGGTGTTTTCACCAAGTCCCGTCCCGTATTCTCCTTTCACCTTAGATATGTTGTTATATCGATGATTCAGTATCAACCCAACATAATGTAATTCGTACCTTAGAATTGGTTTGGACTGGTGAATGTGACTGTAAGTGAGAAATGTGGGTCCAGAGATTTGTTGAAAGTTCTCTTGGGACCTATGTAGAGTCATTTTTAGGTCTAACGGGCTTGAGTTAGGCCCATATAAGACCCCACGTCCTCAAATTCAACGGAGTACTACAAGAAAGTAGAAAGTTGTCCAAATTCTCCGACTTGTCTTTTTCTTTGTCACCGACCATTATTACATTGTCCCGCCCACCTTTATACCTAAGACCACCACCATGAATAAATGTGAATGAAACACGATTTCACTGGATTGTCCATTAATCAATAAAAATACCATAAACTATGGAATAAGGGGTTTTTATAGGAGTATGGGCGTAGTTTTCGTACATGTATAAATGACAAACAAATGGGAAATGTAATATGGCAACATTGTCGAAAGAAAAAACAGTGTAAAACTTAGGATTCTGGTAACAACGATGCATCTTATACGGAATTTTTTACTCGTAGATATAAAAAACACATAAGTGTTACTTTCTCTCATAATTCCATTTTAACTAATTATATAAGATGTTGCTGAGTCTGGCAACAAAGTTACCATTACAGGAGCACCGAAAGAGAAAGACGTTGCAAAGATGGTCCAAAACTTTCATAAATAGTTAAGAAAAAGCAGATAAGAGAAGTACATAAAATGGATTGATTGTTTAACATACAAAGTAACTTTTTCTAACAATAAAATCTACCATAATATTTCAAATAAAAATATGATCAAACATTAAGTAAGATCGAAATCAATATAACTGACGATCATCATTTAAATTGAAACTATGAATCTGAATAAATATTCTATCAATAGGTTTAACATATTTTTGGCATGTTCGACATTTGGGCAAATTCTTTCCATTGGTTATTGTTGTAGTTCATATCGCAAACATGTAAAGAGATTACAGTGGCATACTTTAATTAGAACAAGGTACTCCAGTAATATAAGTACAAATTAAATAAGATTTTTGATGAGAATTGATTTTTTTTTTGTATAAATCATTACTTTCTGAGCAATGCAGAAAAAAGTAATCTATATATCTTTTTATTAAATAGACGATTGAAAATAAACAGAGATCATGAAAGCCATTTTTAAAATTATACATCTTAAACAGAAACTCATTTTATTTCCAAACAGTTTGGTTATGTTTGCATTTAGTTTGGATTGGGATAAACAAATATAATAAAAATAAAAATATTTAATTAATGGTAGACATTGTAGCGTATAGTTTTTTATAAATAACTAATCAAGAAATATTAATATTTTAGTGAAGATCATTTGGTTTGGTTGCAAAAAATCCGAATTAGTTTCAGATAATTAGAGAAAGATTATAATAAGATTTGGTTCGGTTTTTAGATTGATGAAACTGGTACGGTTTGAATCGGTTATTTTCATTTTCCATCTGCACCGCTCACATAATTGGGCCAATAATGTGAGGCTCTTTCTCAATCTAATACAAAAGCAACGGGCTGACTTTGCCTCATCTGATGGTTAATTTCTAACTCTCATCTGACATTCTGCTATGTGGCTAATTGTTTTCAATTTGGCCTACATGTCAGAGTTTGTTCATTTGTTGAACCAATATGTAAATTTAATTCATAGTAACAGAAAAGTAGGATATCAACCTGTTGAAAAAAATGGTACAAGAGATGATAAATACATTATAAGCGCATAATCTTTATATATCGGATGAACTTGGGATATTTGGGTTCATAATTTAAGCCCAGCCCATATGATATTACGGTCGAACCAGGACGATATAATTCAATCGGTCTTCGGTTTAACATAAAATTGAACCGGTCTCTCCTTCTCCCTCCAAACAACTCGAAGCTTCTTCACTCCTTCTTCTTCTCCTAGTCCTGTCTTCGTCTAGGTTAATCGAATCTTCAGTGGTGTGTTCTATCTTTCTGCTGCGAATCAATGGCGCTTTGGATGGATGCTGGGTCGGAGCCGATGACGGAGAACGAAAAAGCTGACCTCGAAGCTATTTCTGCTCTCAAAGAATCCGCCGCCATCGAATTCAAAGTATCCACTCCTTCTCTTTGGTTCTGATCAGATACTTCTTCCGGTTTAATAATCCTCTTCAGTATATGAAATCTAATTTCTTTGTTAACTGAGATATTATAGTTTGATTCGACGTTGAATTAAGTTAGATTCCTTCCTTTGATGATGCATATCACTCGGATGTTGTTTGATTTGTTTACCCATGTTAACGCATTGTTTCAATCGCACAGGAACAGGGAAACGAATGTGTGAGGAAAGGGAAAAAGCATTACTCTGAAGCGGTTGAAAACTACACGAAGGCCATTAATCAGGGGGCTCTAAGTGACTCAGAGACCTCGATCTTGTACTCAAATCGAGCCCATGTCAATCTACTCTTGGGGAATTACCGGCGTGCTCTCACAGATGCTGAGGAAGCTATCAGGCTATCTCCGGATAACGTTAAGGTTAACCACCATTTTCAAAAGACTTCTCTTTGATCTCCTTTGTGTAGTGTTTTGGTCGTTTCTCTGACGTGTCTCGGTGCTTCGAAAGGCGGTGTATCGAGCTGCAAAGGCATCAATGTCATTGGATTTGCTGGACGAAGCGAAATCTTATTGCCAGAAGGGAATCGAGAATGACCCGAGTAACGAGGACCTGAAGAAGCTTCTTAAACAGGTGAATTCAAAGAAGCAAGAGAAAGAACAACATGAAGCTCAAGTCTCAAGGGCTCTAGTGGAAGCCAAGGTTTGGTTTTTTGGATCGGTTAAATTAAAATCACCGCATTTACATGGAAACCTTTGCACTTCAAATTTTATTCAGTTTCCCTTGGTTTCGCTTCAGGCTTGTCTCTCTGCTTTCGAAGACAGAGGCGTTAAGATTGGCAAAGCAATGTACCGAGAACTCACGGGTTTGAAGAAGCCAGTATTAGATAAAAACAACATCCTTCATTGGCCTGTCCTGCTTCTATATGCAGAGGCCATGACAAGTGACTTTGTAGAAGACTTTTGCGAGACGGACATGTTTGCAGCCCATCTTGACATGATATCCTTTTCTTTTATCAAAAGAATCGTCTTTTTTACTTTTTTATTCATGCATCTCATTCCACGGATTAGCTTTCTTGTCCCTCCTTAGCGCTGTGAACATGTTTTCCGAGGATAACCCGCCACTGCCATGGGATAAAAACAACGACTACACGCGTGATGTGATTGAGCTTTACTACGAGGTAATCAACTCCTCTTACGCCATTGAAACGAGAGTATCTGCAGTTGAGCCATCTGGTTTTCGTTTTCTTTACCACTGCGATATCCTCGAGAGAGTCTGTATATTGTCTTGATGAATTCACTGAACTTGTTCGATGAGAAGTGATTAAAACTCTAATAGACTAAATTGTGTTATGAGGCATCTTGTGCTAACACTTGGAAACCTTCTCCTCTCTTTATTTCTTCTCTAGGCGAGTTCGGGAACTCCATTGCCTAGGAGTAGAGTTCTCCAGTATCTTCTAGAAGGTACAAAAGGTTCTCAAGCCGAAACCACCGGAGAAGAGGACACAAGCTTACCCAAAACACTCTCCAACCGTAAGAATCTTAAACTTGTGATGATGATATGCACTTTTGCACTTTGCAATGTCAATCGCTGTAAAAATGGTCACATGTTTTCCATGAATTTGGGGAAATAGTGAAAGGAGGGCGCTCGTCGGGTATGGTTAAAGTGAACGAGCGAAGAACATTGCATGATGTGTTGAAAGAACCTAACTTCGTCATCCCTGAGATTCCAGGTTTGTTTTTGTACTATCACGTTGGACAGTCTCTTTTAATTTTGTTTGCGTCAACTGATGATTAATCTCTTCTTGTTTTTGGCCGTTACAGTCTTTTACATCGTATCGAAGAGGTCCAAATTCTACCAGGACTTTGCCGCCGGAAAATGGAGTCCACCAAGTTAAAAGAGCAAGCTAGAAAAAAGGATATGTAGCATTAGGATTGTCTAGCATCGAGACACAGTTTCGATATTTATATTGTTTATGAAGAAAACTTCAAACATATATGTGTATGCGTAAGAGTGATGAACGTTTTCTGGCAGTTTTTGATTGATTGATCATCTATTGCATCACCGTAATAAGATGGTAGATGGGCAGATTTAAAAACTTGCCGTTTATTGGATTAAACATCTTGACAAGAATCAAACTTCTATCTAGGGGTAAAGTCGTAAAGATAATCTTACGAAGGAAGAATCGTGATTACAAACTTAGTTACAAAGCTACAACATGAACACAAAACATTTTTTTTTTTTACATTTTTCTGCAGTCTTTTCAAACAACTGAATCAGAAACCCGGTTCGGTTTTTTTTTCTTAAAATAAAATTGAAAAGGAAAAAAAGAGGTCGCAAATTAAGAAAGGCCATCCCAACTTGCGACCTTCCGTAGTATAAAAAAGATACCACCCAGCTTGTGAATGAAAAAAGCTTCTCAGATCTTCTAATCCCACACCGGAAAGGATAAGTCAAAAGGAAATGGAAGAAACAGATGAAGACTGTATGTATAAATAAACGGTCGAGACCTCAATTCTTCTCTGCCTAGCATTCTAATGCATACGTCTGCACCTGTTCATATTGTTTTTTTTTTAATGGATGGAAATCGAGAAAAAAAACCATATATTAGTTCAAAAATATTATTTTCCTAATAAACACCTTTTTAACAATTCAATTATATTTAAAGAAGATCAACCTTCTCAATAATTCTACCTCGGCCAGGTTCTTCTCATCAGGTGAGCTGTTGGGCGCAGTGAGGTTGGACGCAGCAGCTGTGTTGTACCGGAAGACCCGAAGCTTCCCCTCCTGGGAAAGTTGTTTGGGAGATACTAATTAGTACATGTATAATTGAAGCGCCGATAAGTGTCACACAATATGAAATTTGGATCATTTACCTTTGTTCCATAAACAAGACCTCCTCCAGGAGAAGGATGAAAGCAGGCAACATTCACTTCATCCTCTGAGCTAGGAAGTACTCTCACCAGTTCCATATCTGAAACTCTGTATATCTGATGGAGAGGTAAAAATGAAAAAAGAAAAAAAATCAAATTCTGGTAATTGATAGTATTAGGCATATAGGATCTGCAAAAAAATTATCTTTTGTTACACTAGAGATCCAAAACTACTGGAGCATAAGGGGTTACCTCCAACACTGTGAAAAAATGTGATGTTATTTCTCCATCACTCACAATGCTCTTCAAAAGAGAACCATGACGTCGACCATATGCAAGCAATATGTGCTCGGAGGTTGGTGAGAACTGCATGCAAATTTGTTATAAATTATTATAATCTTCTTCATCACAATAATACTAATCAGTGCACAACTTTAGACTGTTGATTAGTGTGAGAATCTCATGGACCTTCACAATAATAATATACTTAAACAAAAACAATGGAGGTTTTCGGGGTGAAAATCAGTGAACGACTTTGCGCATTTGAGTTGTTGAGCTCGAAGATAAAGGGGAACTAATTGGTGTGTATTTTTTAGGCAATTCGGGAGAACTCACATAATCGTTTTTATATATTATGGTTAGTTGATGCCATAGTTTAACTTAATCACGAGCCTGCATGCTATGAGATGATTAATAGACTATTTCACAAGCTACTTTACACTAAAAAAACTGGACATTTCCCACATCCTCACAGTGGCTTCTCTTTTTATAAATCAAATCAATCATATATCAGCCTAAACAAACAAAGAATAGATAAAGAAAATGCCATAGCTATAGCGACTTATGTATCCAATCCATTCATTTATTGCCGAAAGGTAACTGACTAACCTGGATAGAGGTCAAACAATGTGCCGCCCTAATTGCCCGTGACACAAGTATTGAACCAAATCTGTAGACATACACAAGATACCCATTCGTCAGTTTTCTGTTATATTCCATGTGAAAGACTTGGAATGTAATAACTGCCAGATGAAATAATATAACCAGTAAAACTCATGGAAGTAGCACTTACGTTGCCTTTTCGAGAGAATACACACGAAGTTCATACATGACTTGATGTGCTGTGACAGGATGTCGAGTAGGGGAAGTTGCAAGCCCTGAATCTTGTTGGACCAGAGTCTGCAAACCAGGATCTGTCTCAGCATGAGGAATAACACATGCGACACAGGCTGCTAAATATCTCCCACATGGCGAAAAATGGGCTCCCATTTCACTGCAAAGATAGATACACATAATTCAAATCCATCATCAAAACTGAAATATTATTTAGCATCACGATCTTCCAAGCGTAACAGTTAGCACCGCAATATTACGGAGAAAATTTACCTGCAAAGAACAGCATGATGTATTGTTATTCGACATTTGTCGGACTTCAGTACTGCACATGGGTCTTTGATGTCATGTGACCACACTCTCAATTTGACAGTACAAGGCAACTCAGCAGCAGCAATCGAAGTAGCCAGTTCAGACGGGATTCTGTTAACCACAGGTTGAGCATCAGCTCCTTGGTGTTGAGTAGTACGAGAGACAAGACCTTCCGGTACACCAGATCCTATGAAGCGGGACTGTGGAATACGGTCCTGGGAGTCGCCTCTTGCAGAAACCCCATATAAGTTAACACCACCAGGAATTTCTAATGACGCCACTGCAGCCTCTAGACTGGCTGTGGATGAATGAGATGCTGAAGTAGTTGAGTTGACATGACCACTACTACCAGTAGGAAGAACAACAGTGTTAGCACCAGCTTGGCTTTGAGCCATCAGCCACCCTTGTAGAAAAGGTAATTCCCAAGAAACTCTGTCTCTGAAGTGAAATAATTGCTGAAGTTGTCCAAACTCAAGTAAATCTGGCCGACTTGCAACTTCATTGGGAACTCTATTTCTTCCAATAGGTTGAGCTTCATCTACATCCATGGCATCAACTGCTGTGGTAGAAGTTCTAGCTCCAGCTTGGGCAGCAAATGTGCTACTACCAGAGTTTTCTGGGACATGATAGGAACCAGAAAGATCACCGGACGCAGCTAATGGAAGAGGAGGAGGAGGAGGAGATATTATTCTGCTGCCGTGTTCTACAGAACTTTGATTACTCTGAAACCTCGATTGTGCGCTCCTTGGACCAGTAGTACCAGTAGAATATTGGATTCTTTGATCATCAGCAGAGTACGAAGGCAAAAGCAAGTACGGTAGTGGCACAAGTGGTAGTTCTGCTGCCATGCTGGTACGACTGCCACTCGGTGTGTTGGTGAAGAAAATAGCAGGGGGAGGATATCGCAAATAACCCGGAGATGTTGCTCTGGTCATTGCGGAATCTGATGAATCAATGTCAGTCACCTGCCATTTGTAGTTAATAGAGTAAGCCCACAGAGTGGCAGAGCAATAACACAATCCTTAATAAGCAGCTCACCTCTGCAGTCAAGAGAAGAGGAGCCCCATGTGGATGGAAGTGTACAGCTCTCAGGGAACGTCGTGTCTTCAACACAATTGCTGGTGATGAGTTATCCCCTCTCTTATTGTAATGCCATATGTGCAACTTCAAAAGAAAAGAAAAAAGCATTAATCAAACTTTAAGAGACCTTTAGATCAGATATATTATTATAAACGGATAGGCCGCCTGCAACTAAACTAGCGTTTCATGAGTGACTTAAATGGAAATAAGATACCTTATGACCAGATGCAACAGCAAGTAAATCACCTTCAGCGTGGAAAGCTATAGAAGCAATAGGTCTAACTGTTTAGGGAAAAGAAGAAAAGAACGAAAGTTAATTAAATGAAAAAGCAGAGGACAAAAAATAACAACATACTATAATGCCACTTACAGAAATCATGAGATCTAATACACTCCGAAGTTTTTGAATTCCATAAGCGCACCTCATGATCTAAACTTCCACTAGCAACTATTTCTGAATGGCGTGGGTGGAATCTGACCTGTAGAGAACTCCATAACATTAGATATCGAAGCAGTGCGCATAAAGCGTAACTAAATAAACTTATCCCCTGCAAGTGTCTAACATGCTACACAGAAAATATAACAAAATTGACACCCATCATCCAGTCTACGAAGTCAATGACAAAAGATAGCCACCAAATTTCAAATCAAAGGTCCGGTTAAGTGCTACTTAGTAATCATGGGAAGTCAAAGAATCAACGAAGTTAAGAAGAAAAGGATAGCATTCTCTAACTCACCACCCAGGGTGTCCTCCGATGGCCACTCAAAACTTTTAAGCATTTTCCTGTCTCACAGTCAATAATCTTTACAGTGTGGTCACCACTACAAGATATAAAACCCAAGTAAATCTCATTAGCAATCGGAAACGATTAAACTGCAACAAATATGACTCAAAATACTTACTGTGTAGAAGCAAGAGTTCTTCCATCAGAACTAAAAGCTGCTGCAATAGTTGACCTTGGAGGAGGCACAAGAGGACAGTACCTGGCAGATAAATGCAGCAATGACTCTGCCTCGACCCTACATATAAGGAATGCAATTTACATTCAAAAGCCCGAAAGGAGGCAAGGATCACATAAACTAATCTTCAGGGAAGATACATCCGTTTCGTGATAAAGGAAGATTGAAGAAACGGAGAATGAAAGCAAGGTACCATGAAATAAGATTATGTCTCAGCTCGCTCACTGGCTCGCCACTGGTTCCACACGACGAATCAGCATCCCGTCGACTTTTACCCCATCGTTTTCTTGGCACAAACTTTGTTTTTGGTGAAATTTCTCTCTGGACCAACAACCTGAAGACGCTCTTACACCTGAACAATCATACTCAAACCAGATCCACCCAGATTAGGAGCAGAAATAATTAGTCATCTAGTTTCTGGGCAGTAAAATAAGTCATTTAGGCTGCAAGTACGAACTCCAGATTCATTTCCAAGCAATACTTCCGTTTTAATTGCTGAAACTAATAAAAATTCATCTACAGCGGCCGTAGTAATCCTTCTGAGCACGATTAGGGTGCTAAACTAATAATACATAAACATCTATCACTTCAAATATACTTGCATAGCTGTTAAGAGACCAGCATCCAAAATTTCAACGATCTCCTAAACAAGCCTTGTGATTACTTGATCTAACGCTGGATCTCCTTAGAATGAACAAAATGGTTTCAAGTTTCTATAGAAAAGCATCAAAAGGTTCTACATCAATTCATGATTCAAACTCAGTCAATGAACAAGTTCTGACCTTTGGCGATGAACATTAGCCACTGGTTTTGGTGACGGCATCAGCGACCGAGGAGAAGGTTGATCGTGTGACCACATAGATTCCGTCATCTCGAAAGCCGAAATTCATATGAATTCCCAAGTTGGCAGGGAATCCATAGATGCGACCAAACAATGACGAAACCCTAATTAGGCGATTTCCGCGGAAAACGAGGCCAAATCGCCGATCTAATCAGCCCAATTTTTTATCCCCCGCGGCTCCGTCCTCGAGATGGGTTATTTTTTGATGAAGAGCGACGAAGAAACCTAAAACGAAAAACAGGAGGCCATGGCTGAGGAAGGTCGGCTAAACATTAAAAGGATCTCCTTTTTTTCTCTCTAATTGGAATGCTCAGTTCTTAATTATCTAAACACAATCTTTACCATTTTAAATAATACCCTTTCACTTTCTAATATTTCGAAATGATACCCTTTTATTATTTACAGTTCTAGGCATGTTTTATTCAACTTGGTAAATCTGATTTTGAATATATCCTCGATTAAACCAAATCCCTCGGATGGGGGCAATGTACAGATTCCTCCTAAATGGATAAAGATCAAATAATAACTGTGTGAAAAAATAAATTAAAGAGAGATTCAGATCAACATTATAAATAAGAAAAATTATCTTTGCTACACAAGATTTTGTAATCTGGCGGACCAATAAAAAACTTTAATGCAGATGAGGACACTATTGATTCGCAAGTCATAAAATATTGATAAAATCTTAAACATAACAAATCTAAAGAGTAATTTGAGTTGTGTCTATTTTTTATTCGGCTCTGATTAGTTGTTCTTCACGCGGGACCAAAACAGAAAAATTACAAGCACTTAGCCAACTTTTTACAATAAACAGCAAAGCATCCAAATCATTAACACAACAAGTTGGTATAGTGCCTCCACCGGTTAACTAATCCAAAACAAATCCATTGAACCAAAAAGCATAAACCACACTTAATAACCTTATAAAGACGATAATACCCTGAGATGTTATAAAAATTTAAAGCAAGCTATCGGCTCTAGACGGCAACCGCCTGAAGAAGCTAAGCCCTCGCGACGGCAGCTTCCTCCTAAACCGAGGCGGTCTGAGATAATACAAACCAGAGACAGCAACCGTCAACTTAACCGGCACCACATAAAACCCAACCGCAGCGAGTAAACAGAACACCAAGAACAGAAACGTCGCACGCGGATCACGCCAGCTCAGCAACGCCTGCGCTCTCTCTCCCTGACTCGCCATGTCACCAACCACGGTCTGAATCCTCCCCGCGATGCTCCTAACCCGATCGTATCTCATTCTCACGACCTCAAATCCCCTGCTCGTCGGAAACGTGTCAAACTCTTCGTCAAGCTCGTCGGGAAACACGGTTTCCGCGTGTGAGAGACGAGCGTCCATGTGTGGTGGATGTCTAGGCCGCCGCCTGAAACGCCAAACGCCAACCGCAGCCGCGTAAAGAAACAAACACGATAATATAAGCTCCGGAAACAAAACCATAAACAAGAACACCACCACGAAAACCGTCGAGCAAATCGGTTTAGTCCAACTTCTCATAACTTCGACCAATTTCGCAACCGCGACCAAACCCGAAATCACGTTTACTAGGCGAAAAAAATTAGCTTTGCTCCTTCTCATACTCCAAACATGGAAATCGTGATCGAGCATATATTCCACAACCTCACGGCCTAGAGGCGGCTCAGCTCTACTCAGCCTCGCGGCAACCGCGTTTAGCGTCTGATACCGCAAACGCTCAAGCATGTGAACCCCAAACGGCTGAGTATAATGCATCTTAGGAAGCAGCGGTAAGCTATACATTTGAAGCATATTAACAGCGTTACCGCACGATAATCTAACTGCTAAATGAAGCTCACCGGTTTTCTTCACTCCCGTAGCGTGCAACACAATCAAAGGATACGAATGAGTGTAAACCCGTTCCGTCTCCAGAGTAGACAGCCTAATCCTAACCTTACCAATCCGCGCATCGCGCGAGTTGTTATTGTTCCCGTCGATACGCGCGTTATCAAACACACCGACAGTTACAACCGTGCACGGGTCGTTTACTTCCCAAGTATACTGCTCGTTCCACTTCGGACAAAGACTGTCCACAACGGTTCTTGTTCTGATCCATTTTGGCCCGTACTTAGCCACGCAGTACGAGTCTGTGGTTCCACCACAATTCCCGGCCCTAACCTTCATCGGCATCAGACCCGTTGCACCAAGAATCCCAATCTCTAAAAGCCCAACTTGCGGTTTCCAAAGCTCCTTGGCGGTAGGTCTAACATCGCTGCAATACATTGTTGCCTCATCCAAAACATGGTATCCACCGTCTAGTGACAATCGAAGATGAATCCTTGAACCAAACCGACTGTTGCTGTTGTTATTACCATTATCTAAGCTAAACCATCTCGAGCCAACCGGTTTATCCCCTGTTCGTCTCTCAACAGCCGCAACCGGAATCTGAACTCTACCAACTCCGACGTCGTTTTGTCCTCCCATTGCACCACCACACACACGATCCTCTACAATAGCAGTAATGTAATCCTCAAACGGCTCTGCAACCACAAACATCAAATCCTCATTCCAATAAGGATTTGAGAAGCTCCGGGTAGGGCTTGCGGGAGAGATAGCAGTCCGCAGAATCTGATTCCCGACTTGTAGCTTAGCGGTGAGCTCAGGAAACCTCATTAGACCTGAACCTTTGTCCATAACTGAAACGTCTTGAGCCTCGATCACTGAAACCCTAAGGTACCATAGCTTAGGAGACAAGTAAACCTTTGATTTGATCGAAGATAAACCCTCAATGTGAACATTTCCAGCTTTTGAATGCCATGCCTCAGCGAAAGCCTCGTCGGCTTGAGTCCCGAACCACAACGAAGCCATAAGCTCTCCGCTACCTCTACCGCCGTTTCTACTCTCTATTTTGTACCACTGCGGAGCTAACTGACTATCAGGAGGAACACGGGTTGGTATTTCACTCAGATCGAACCAGACCCGACCCGAGTACTCATCTTTGTTACCTTCTTTGACAAAGATCTCAGCTACAGATGATTGAATGGTATCTTTAGAAAAGGCGAAAACTTGATTCCACTCCGGGTTATTCGAATTCAGACTCACCTTTTTAGTAACTCCCCTGTAATTACCTACTTTCACTTCTGACACCACATCACCGGATACTGACAAGTCCTTAGCTTTCACAATTCTTACATAAAGGTACTGCATTTGCTCAACTAGATCGTATGTTGAGCTTGTTTTGTCCCTGTGATTAGTCAAACCGCCAACACCACTACTACTTCCTCCAAGACAGGGCTTAGTCTCCTTAAGCGAAAACTCACTCGACCCGTTTGAGTAAGCGAGGGGCCCGGGTCTAAGTCCAGGTCCGGGTCCGGGCATAGGACCGGGAAGAGCGGTTATCACAAGTGGCTTTATCTCACCGAGGTTCGGATAGAACGGTAGCATCCTCTGTCCTAGACCATTCTGCTGATTCTGCTGCTGACTCCCTCTGTTGTTATCGTGAAGAGATATCTGTTGCTGTTGCTGTTGAATCGACATGGAAGTGCTCAAGTTCTGTACTTTCTTGCTTTTCTTTGGCCCACCCGACCCGTTAACCCGACGGAGATTCTCAGCATTATCTGCCGTTGTGGTGACGTAGTGTTTCACGCTGATTTCTCCTCGCACGTGCGAGAAAAGGCTTCTCTTTTCAAGCGTGTACAGCTGAACCACAGATTCTCCTTCTCTTCCAACGCTGGACCCTGGAACCCGAACTTTACCCAAAAAGTTTCTGCTGTTGGAGGAACGCTTCTCATTGAAAACGCTGATTTCTAAGTTTTTGTAACGGAGGTCGTTGACGTCGATGACATGGAAAACGAGCTTCTCGTTCCAGATTGGGTTAAGGTCTTTGGTCTTGACCTGAGTTCGAAGACGCTGGTTCTCGAACTCGACTTCAACGAATGGAGATGAAGATCCTTCTCCGTCTTTAGGCATGAGATTGTGAGCCCCCACTATCTCCACCACGAGCTTCTCGTTGCCGCTGCCGGCTTTTGCATCAGTCATGACCGGTTTAGCAAAGTAGAGAAATTGGAGGAAAGAGATTTTCAAGAAAGTGAAGATGGAGATAAACTAGAAAGAGAGACGAGGGATTGAAAGCACAAGGCAAGTGAAAGGACAGTGGAGTAGAAAGCGAGAGAGAGAGAGAGAGAGAGAGAGTTGAAGAATGCAGATGCAGGGTTTAACAAAAGAGAGCGTGCCAAGGAAGAGAATCTGGATTTTGTGTTTTATCTAATATATTAAACTGGGTTTTTCAAATAGATTCAGATATTTCACGTTTAAAATAAAATTTCCGTCAGGTATTGAATTTGTATATTTAATTAGAATATGAGTTTGTATTTGCTAAAAGCAAAAATTCTAGTAGAATTTAGTCGATTTACCAGTGACAGCTTTTTGTATAGTATAATAATAGAACAGAGAAAGGAAGGGAACGTAGGGGAAAGGGACAGAACAGCCTCGAGTATCACGCTTGGTGGTCGCGCGTGGATTAACGTCGTCTCTCACCAATGGCATTGCTATGTTCTGCCTCTTACCGTATAACTTTTGCTTTCCTCCTGATCTAGTGGGACCCGGTTTCACTTTCATATTTACTTTCACCGAGGAAGTAAATATTGGTAAAAACTACGAGACATTTAGGAGCGTGGATTACACGCGTCAAGATTAGCAACTGGGAGATGATGGAAAGAAGAGACTCGTTCAGTCCTACGAGGAACAGCAATTTGTCTCAAAAGAGTGTTTGTCAGACGAATATAAAAGCATACTGTAATACTCCTATAAAGGTTAGTTTCTTCGTGATCTTTTGTTTGAACATTCTTCATGGTTTTTTGTTTGAGCAAAAAAACAAAAATTAACTTATCCATCTTCAGGAATAAATGGGGATTTATATATTTTTATTGTAACTATAAATTATCATAAGACTGTATGTATATTTTTTTTTTCCAGGTTTTCCTAGTTGTACCTTTGAAACTGTTTCAAACTACTTGAGGAGAGTTGAAACTAGCAATAAAAATAATAACCATAGATAATTAGATAATAGCATCCCTATTGCTTTACACGAGCATAGAGAAGGCTAGGACTTGAGTTTGCAGGTTTGTCATTGTGTACATAACGCTCAACGTTCTTCTTGTTTTTATCGGCATTTATGATTTTCCTCATTTGCCACACTGTATTTTCCCTTATACGTCCCAGATGGGTATGTCTTCCTTCTTTCTTTAATTTCTTCTGCAGGCTTTTGTGCATGCAACAAGTTATTGAAAACATGAGTGAGTATCAATTAAAGTTCGTCCCTGCTAATGACTGCCACGTGGCATCCACTTAATAGTCCTAGGAAATCTCCCTACTTGTATTTTATCTGTCTTGTTGTGACTCTTATCAGAACCCAATAAATTCAGAATACATAGTTGTCTGTTCGTATTACGATGTTTATGTTCTCTAAGTGTTATTCTCCTCATATCCGTAAAATACTGGAGTACATGATTTACCTTTTACTTTGTAACCCGTTCAACCAAATTAAAAATGGTTACGCCATATGAGTTTGTTATTCTTTTTAAAAAATAAGCCAACTATCTAGGCAAATAAAATTTTGCTACCATAGACATACTGTAACAAAGCCAGTTATCTAACAAGTTGAAGTTTTAGGGATGGTATTCATTAACTACAGCCCACTTACTACTTTAACGCCAAAGCCAATATCTTGTAACAAAAAGCCCAATACTGATAAGAATTCATAAGTACGGGCCTATCTTCTACAGTAAGCCTGTAGCAAAAGCCCAGTACTGATAAGAATTCATAAGTACGGGCTCATCTTCTATTGTAAGCCCGTAGATTTTTTCTACGAAAGGAACCTCTCTATATAGTTGCTTCCATTTTTTTTTTGAGTTAACTCGTAATTTATGTATGCATCAATGCCTGCAATGATAACTGATAAGAATCTCGATAAGTTTTTCTACAAAGTTTGAGCATATGAGCACTATACAAAAAAATGAGTATCAAGAGATCAATCAGTGCCGGAAAAACAAATCGGACAGAATAATAGCAACTGTTATATTTCATTACTGATTAAAAAAACCAGAAAATAGTATTTTATTAGATGATGGATTTTGTAAGAAATCGGACAAAATTAGTTTTTCCGCGTCCGAAATACCAGCTCGTAATATCAAAGGAAAGACAGGGGTAGTTTGGGGATGTAATGTCTTAATTCAACGTCTAGTTATGATGCTGTCATTTTAATTAAAGTAAAATTTTCTCCAGACAAATCCCAAAGGTGGGGGAGGTAAGGGGAGAGGGAAGCACGAAAGAAAGGCAAACGAAAATTAGAGAAGAAGAAAAAAAAAAAATTATATCAGAAAGTTTCGACATTACAAAATCAGGAACGCGTTTCGATTTTGCTATTCCTTTTCTTTTTCTGGGAATCGAATCTCGTTAATTCTCGCAAGCATTTCGCATTCGCATTGTCGGTGTTTTGGAGCCTTTAGTTACAATAAGTTCAATGATGCTTTGATCACAACTGGATCCAGAGAAAGCAATAACATTGAGTTTCTAATTCGTGAAACAAAATGGTAATGGTTTCCATGGGTTTTTGATGTTTTTTTTTTCTGTTTTGATTGCAAATTTCTTTTTTTCATGATGGATGGATAATCGTGTGGGTTTATGTTTTGCTGCTTTATTTGCCCGTGCGTTGTCGTTTGATCAAATCTGAGTTTTGACTTTGAAAGCAACTATGATTTTTTATTTGGTTTAGCGATTGTGATTTTTCAACCTTTTGAAATGCTCTAAAGGTTGAGTCATTGCAGCGTTTCGTTTCGTAACAGAGTCAATGTTCGACGGAGATTTGACTTCAGTTCAGAGATTTTTTTTTATGCTTAGTCCTTAACTTGTCTGATTCTCCATCAGAAACTAGTTGTTACAATTCTGGTTACACCGAAGCAGCAATTCTATATGGTTTTTGAAGCTAACTGAAAGTTGGTTGATTGTATTTACGACACACTGCAACTAATGTTACTTGTCTATCGGATTTAGTATAGCAAAAACGCATCTTTGGCACATCTATGGAGTATTTATTTTGCCAAGCTGATACGGGGAAGTTGTAAATTTTTTTGGTAGTCATAATGAGATGCAATCCTCTAAAGGTCTTAGAAAAAGATATGCAGAGTGTGAATAGTAAAAGTTTTTCACAGAAGGCCTCCTTGCGAGAAAATTTAAAAAGATGTGAAATGACTATATCAGTTCTATGTTTACATTGACGCCCGTTGTTTCTGCAGGTTGCTACCTTCAATCCTACAGTTGGGTCGCGTGTGTGGGTGGAGGACCCGGATGAAGCATGGCTAGATGGTGAAGTTGTAGAGATTAATGGTGAACAGATCAAAGTTCTCTGCACTTCAGGGAAACAAGTATGTGCCCTTATTATCTGCTTTACTTAGATGTTCATATCATCAATCATACAAGACATTCCTCTGCAATGCGTGTGTGTTTAGTTCTGTAAGAATGAGAAGCTTTAATGATTCTATTTCAAAAATTGGAAACACAGGTCGTTGTTAAAGCTTCGAATATATACCCAAAGGATGTGGAAGCGCCAGCATCTGGGGTGGAGGATATGACAAGGCTGGCTTATTTACACGAGCCTGGAGTCCTTCAGAATTTGCAATCAAGATATGATATAAATGAGATTTACGTGAGTGATTCATAGAGCTAGTTACGTCTCCTTGTTATCTACTGTTTGCTGTTAGACTGAACCCGGTTTACTTTCAGACATACACGGGAAGCATACTGATTGCTGTTAACCCGTTTAGAAGACTTCCACATCTCTATAGTAGCCATATGATGGCTGAATATAAAGGTGCCTCGCTTGGTGAGCTGAGTCCACATCCTTTTGCTGTTGCAGATGCTGCGTATAGGTAATTATATTGAGTACATACTCGTCAAACAATGGTTTGTTTTATACTGTTATTTTTTTTTTTAAAAGTTAATGGCATATTTTCATTCATGTAATGCAGACAGATGATTAATGAAGGAGTAAGTCAATCTATCCTGGTTAGCGGTGAAAGTGGCGCTGGTAAAACTGAAAGCACAAAGTTGCTTATGAGATATCTTGCTTACATGGGAGGGAGAGCTGCTGCTGCCGAGGGAAGGAGCGTTGAGCAGAAAGTTTTGGAGGTGAAAAGATAGTTATTGATGCCTTTTGTTTTGGTGTATATAGAGAATTGTCAGGTTTTCGTCTTATTTATTATCAGGGACTCATAGTTGATATTGCATTAGAGACTGGAGTAGATAATCACACCAAAACTTCACTAGTAGGCTAGGTTGATACGTGTGGTGCTATGTTTAGTCTTTCGAATTAATGATATTAGTCTTTCGTGTGTCTTTGCTTTGATCTGTTTCTTATTGCTTCTTATATTTATGTTTCATACAGTCTAATCCTGTATTAGAAGCATTTGGAAACGCAAAGACTGTTAGGAACAATAATTCCAGGTAATGAGGTTTCCTTGTACTCTGATCCGCATTCTTTTGGAAAGTGTGCTTTTTAGTGTGTGAAAGAAAGGTTCTAAAGTCTTTTTATTTGTGTATCTTATAGTCGATTTGGTAAGTTCGTGGAGATTCAGTTTGACCAATCGGGGAGTATATCCGGAGCTGCTATAAGAACTTATTTGTTGGAAAGATCCCGTGTTTGCCAGGTGTCTGACCCCGAAAGAAACTATCATTGTTTCTACATGCTTTGTGCTGCACCAGAGGAAGTAAGTTCCCATCTCAAAATTAATCGTTGTTGATTTAAGGCCTAGTAATGTACATCTTTTTCCCCCGTAGTTATAATTATTGTTCTATATTGTCAGGATGTTAAGAGGTTCAAGCTTGGTGATCCAAAGACATACCACTATCTCAATCAATCTAAGTGTCTTGCATTGGATGGTCTGAACGATGCGGAGGAATATCATGCAACAAGAAAGGCCATGGATGTCGTCGGGATCAGTTCTGAAGAGCAGGTAACTTCATCCGCTGAACTTAGCTAAACTTGCAATATTATCTTCATCACCAACTTTTTTTATTTTTAACTTTTTCGGTATGTCTCCAGGATGCAATTTTCCGCGTGGTGGCTTCCATTCTGCATCTGGGGAATATTGAATTTGCTAAAGGAACAGAGATTGATTCATCAATCCCCAGAGATGAAAAATCTTGGTTTCATTTGAGAACCGCTGCTGAGCTTCTCATGTAAATGGCTTAACTCATTGACTGAAGTGGGGTTGCTTCTGTATGTGGCTGAAGTTGGTTTCTTTATTCACATAATTTTCCTTTTTGTTTTGTTGTTGCAGGTGTGATGAGAAGTCACTTGAGGATTCTCTATGCAAGCGTATCATGGTAACTCGTGATGAAACCATCACAAAAACTCTCGATCCAGAAGCAGCTACTCTTAGCAGAGATGCTTTGGCCAAAATTATGTACTCAAGGTTGTTTGATTGGTGAGTTTCTCTGTTCTTACTTGACCAAGATATTCTCAGTAGCTACATCTCTTCATTTGAAGTAATAATTTTGACTTGTATTTCTACAAAACTGTTTTGTACTAATTATTTTTCCTGTCCATGCAGGCTCGTTGAGAAGATTAATAGTTCAATTGGTCAAGATCCTGATTCGAAGTACTTGATTGGTGTTCTTGATATCTATGGATTCGAGAGTTTCAAGACAAACAGGTGCTTAACCGGTATGCCTGTTGTTTTCAGATTGAATAGATAGGGTTCGTTACAATAACAAGTGTACAAAAGTTGGAAACCCTGATAGTTTGGCTCGTCGCATGTGGTTTCGCATATTGTTTTATATTGGTCTGATCAATTTCAAAGCCAAAGCAGTGCTGTTTCTAACGTGGACGGTTGAGAATATGCTAATTCCTATTGTTGTTTGAGCTTGTGAGGTTTACCCGGTTTAGTGTTATTCAACTTATCTGTAGGAAAAGCACTTCACTGTTTGACTGTCGAAGGATTCATGGCCACGTTGGGTTTTAGTTTGTCATTATTCTTTGGCCCACTGCTTACTGTTTCTAGTACTTTTGCAGTTTTGAGCAGTTTTGCATCAATTTGACTAATGAGAAACTCCAGCAGCACTTTAATCAGGTTTTGATCAAACAAGCTCTCTTCAGTTTATACCTCGTAGTTCTGCCATAGTTTTAACTTGTGTTATCGCCACACTATGCAGCATGTCTTTAAAATGGAGCAAGAGGAGTATACGAAGGAGCAGATCAATTGGAGCTATATTGAGTTTGTAGACAATCAAGATATTTTGGACCTAATAGAAAAGGTTTCGTGTAATAATTTCTGTATTTGTTTATGATCTTTGATTCTATGAAAATGTGGCAACAAACATGTTTTAGGTTGCTGTTCAAGCTTCTAAGCCATCTCAAGTTGTTCTTTTAGCTATTTTCTTAGCGATGCTTCTCTTAACAAGTTGTGGTGTTTGTTTGTTTCTTACCTTCAGAAACCCGGAGGTATTATTGCTCTTCTAGATGAAGCTTGGTGAGTCTGAAACCCAATCTTAGATGATCCGTGCTTTGATTCTGCTTTCAGATTGCTTTTCCAATCTGAATTATTTTAAAAAGAAATGTGGCTGAAGTGTGGCTTTCGTTTTACAGCATGTTTCCTAGATCCACACACGAGACATTTGCTCAGAAGCTATACCAGACATACAAAAACCACAAGCGCTTTACCAAGCCGAAATTGGCTCGCAGCGACTTCACAATTTGTCATTATGCTGGTGATGTGAGCATCTTTTGCTTATCCCCCGCCTTCGCTGGTTCACATGATTGTGAAAAATATATACGAGAAAGTCAGTAATTGGTTTGTAAAATATCTCGTTTAACAACCATGAGGGTATTGTTCCAGGTCACTTATCAGACAGAGTTTTTCCTAGACAAGAACAAGGATTATGTTATTGCTGAGCATCAAGCGTTGTTAAATGCCTCTACATGTTCCTTTGTTGCCAATTTGTTTCCACCACTATCTGACGATTCCAAACAATCAAAATTCTCCTCTATCGGTACTCGCTTCAAGGTGAGATTGATTTCGGTCTCCAATGTCAGTTTAGCTCATCTTAATCTAGTTTTTTTTACTTAAGCTTACAGATTACATGTTTGTGCCTCTTTGCAGCAACAATTGGTATCATTGCTTGAGATTCTCAATACAACGGAGCCACATTATATCCGATGTATAAAGCCTAATAATCTTCTGAAGCCTGGAATCTTTGAGAACCAAAATGTTCTACAGCAATTACGCTGTGGGGTGGGAATGACATCTAGTTTCAGTTATATAATCAAGCTTCTCGTTACAATTATTAATTCCGGAAGAATGATGATTTTTTTTCTTTCTTTGTGGTGTTTTTCTGACCTCAGGGAGTGATGGAGGCGATCCGGATTAGTTGTGCTGGTTATCCTACTAGGAAGCACTTTGACGAATTCTTGAACAGATTTAGTATCCTTGCTCCACAAGTGTTGTTGGACAAGAAGTAAGATGTCTCTTCATCTCCGGATATTCCTTCGATACGAGGTTCTATATTCAATGGCTTATGTTGCGTACTCCTTTTTGTACTAGTTCTGATGGACCAGCTGCTTGCAAGAAACTTCTTGATAAGGCGGGACTTGAAGGATATCAGGTAAACTCTTTGATCACCAACATATTATCTGTCAGTTTCTATGATAGAGTTACCTGAGATTGAAGGTGGTTTGCTTTTTTTGTAGATTGGTAAGTCAAAAGTATTTCTTAGGGCCGGACAAATGGCAGACTTGGATACTCGAAGAACTGAAATCCTGGGAAGATCGGCGAGCATTATCCAAAGAAAAGTACGATCGTATCTTGCGCAGAAAACTTTTATCCAACTACGTAACTCTGCTACTCAGATCCAGGCAGTTTGCAGAGGTATTTATAACAACCTGCAGCTGAATTGTTTTTACAATTCTGCCTTGTAGATTGTAGATTGGTTTCTTCTTGTTCGTCTCTGTTTTCTTATTCTACTTCTAAAGCTGGCTTGCAAACATATGCCTCTTTACGTTTTCAGGTTATCTTGGTAGAAGTATATACGAAAGCATGCGCAGGGAAGCTGCTGCTTTGAAGATCCAGAGAGACTTGCGTATGTTTCTCGGTAGGAAAGCTTACACTGAGATGTTCTCTGCTACTGTTTCCATTCAAGCTGGTATGCGTGGTATGGTTTCTCGAAAAGAACTATGTTTCAGACGGCAGACTAAAGCTGCGACAATAATCCAGGTATGATGATGTATCTAAACTACTGAAGCATATGGCTCTATCAAATTTGATTGCTCATAAAAAACTACTATAATACATTAGACTGAACACTACTAATCCTTAAATAATGATTTTTTCCATTTTACATTACAGAGCCGGTGTCGTGTGTTTTTGGCTCGGCTGCATTACAGAAAGCTAAAGAAAGCAGCCATCACAACACAATGTGCATGGAGAGGAAAAGTTGCTCGCAAAGAACTCAAAAACCTTAAGATGGTGAGATGTGGTTTCTTTGTCTGATCACTTCATCAAATGAACTATCTTCTAGAGTTGACTTCTTAAGGTATTGTTACACGAAAATTGACGCAATTCCTATAAACACAGGCTGCTCGGGAAACAGGAGCTCTCCAAGAAGCCAAAAACAAGCTAGAGAAGCAAGTTGAGGAACTGACATGGAGATTGCAGTTAGAGAAACGAATGAGGGTGAAGCTTCTTTTCTTTTTGTCAACCTCTGATCTAATTGCAAATGTTAAGAGTACCATATCTTCATTTTCAACGCTGCAGACTGACTTGGAAGAGGCCAAGAAACAAGAAAATGCGAAATATGAGTCTTCTCTAGAGGAAATTCAAAACAAATTCAAAGAAACTGAAGCATTGCTTATTAAAGAGCGTGAAGCTGCCAAGGAAGTTTCTGAGGTGCTCCCTGTCATTAAGGAGGTTCCTGTAGTTGACCAGGAATTAATGGGGAAACTCACTGATGAAAATGAAAAGCTGAAGGTGGGTCTCATTTCTGGATCTATAGAACCATCCACCAAAAAATCGTTGATTTGATTTCATCTGTGTTGCTTGTCGTATGCAGGGGATGGTAAGTTCGCTGGAAATAAAGATTGATGAAACAGCAAAACAACTTCAGGAGACAGCCAGGATCAGTCAAGATAGACTAAAGCAAGCGTTAGAGGCAGAATCTAAAGTAGCGAAATTGAAGACGGCAATGCAGAGGTACCGTTTGCAATGATATAACAATTAAGACTAGCAGCAATATATATATATATACCTCTCTTGTTCAAACACTTAGCTGAACTTTCATTTGCAGGCTTGAAGAGAAGATTTCAGACATGGAAGCTGAGAAACAAATTATGCGTCAGCAAACAATCTTAAACACTCCTGCGCAAACTGTATCAGGGCACCCACCAACGGTAACTGTTAAAGTATAGTGTTTCTCTAATACTCTTCATAAATACCCTTTTGGGATACCTTCTACTTGTGCTTGATGCTGAAACTTTTTGCAGAATCTGGAAAATGGCCACCGTACAAACTTGGAAACCCAACTCAATGTAGGCTACTTCTTAGATTTCTCATTTATTTTCCTTCGCATATTCTGTTGGCATTTTCATCTGAGAAGCTACTTTTCCAGGAACCCGAGTTCGCTGGGAAATCTACTGCAGAACGTCAACTTGTACTGGCCAATCACTAAAATACTATTATTACAGACAGTTTTAATGAGCAACTCTGATAACCTGTTTTTTTTTTACCGCCGCTGCAGGAAAATGTGGATACTCTCATTGGCTGTGTTAAAGACAAAATCGGTTTCAGTAATGGGAAACCTGTTGCTGCATTTACAATATACAAGTGTCTTCTTCATTGGAAGTGCTTTGAGTCTGAGAGGACTAGTGCGTTTGATCGTCTTATTGAGATGATTGGTTCCGCAATTGAGGTAAAATTGTAATGCATTTCCTAGCATTATGAAGATACACTGATATGTCCCAAGATGACGAGTCTTGTACTAACTTACTAAAAATTGGATTACTAATTTTCTTGTATTCTTTTCAGAATGAAGATGACAATGGTCATTTGGCGTATTGGTTGACAAACACATCGGCGCTACTGTTTTTACTTCAAAAGAGTCTTAAAACTGGTGGCGCAGGAGCAACGGCAAGCAAGAAGCCACCCATCACAACTTCCTTGTTCGGAAGGATGGCCTTGGTATGTTACAGTATGAATTTTTTGACGGATCTTTTACACTTTAATGTCAAGACTAATATAAGTATCATTGTTTAACCAGAGCTTCCGCTCTTCACCGAACCTCGCTGCCGCGGCTGAAGCTGCTGCTCTTGCGGTGATCCGCCCTGTGGAGGCAAAGTACCCGGCTCTGCTTTTCAAGCAACAGCTTGCAGCTTATGTGGAGAAGATATTTGGGATGATTAGGGATAACTTGAAGAAAGAGCTATCAGCTTTAATTTCTCTGTGCATTCAGGTTTCATTGCCTTTCTTCTCTGTCTGCAGCTTTCTCTTTCCCCTGTCTTTAACGTTGTATCCTAATGTGTTTTACAATTTTTAACAAGTCTTGTTATGTCCATACGATGAACTTCAGGCACCGAGGATTTCAAAAGGAGGGGTGCAAAGATCTGGAAGGTCTCTTGGTAAAGATTCCCCTGCTATTCACTGGCAGAGCATTATCGATGGTCTCAATTCAATTCTTGACGTATTGAAAGAAAATTATGTAAGGAAACATTAAAAACTTCCATGACCATTGATTTGTTTTCAACTCCTCAAGTTCTCATATGTTTCATGGCGTACAGGTTCCTTTGGTGCTCATCCAGAAGATACACACTCAAACATTCTCTTTCATCAATGTGCAACTGTTTAACAGGTAAATAAATAACACCTGAAAATTACATGTAAAGGGTTTCTATGCACTTCACTTTTGATACTCGTCACAAGTATAAGTTGGGTCCTTGGAATCTAATTTATTACTTGGATTGTCAGTAAACAAAACCAAGTCACTAGTCATCTTACTCGTTTTTTTTCCCTTAACATCTTATAGCTTACTCCTGCGTAAAGAGTGTTGTACATTCAGCAACGGAGAATTTGTAAAGTCTGGGCTTGCAGAGCTAGAGTTGTGGTGCGGCCAAGTCAATGAAGTAAATTCCTATCTCACATTTTTTCTTACGAAAGAACATTTCTTTCAGCTCATTTTATCATTTTGTATTCTTTCTTTGGTTTTGCAGTATGCTGGGCCATCTTGGGATGAACTGAAACACATCAGACAAGCTGTTGGGTTTCTGGTATGTTGTACTCTCGTCATCTTTGTCTCATCTGTTTCCTTGAAAAACCATACTAATAACATTTTCTTCTCCTCGTGACCCTGCAGGTTATCCACCAGAAGTACAGAGTATCATACGATGATATAGTGCATGATCTTTGCCCGGTAAAGCTCCTTTTTTAGTGTGCCTAGACACACGTTTTGAGGATGTTTTTACAGCGGCTCAGACTCTTTACTTAATCGCTTTCTTGATTCACTTTCTTGTTTGTTCAGATCCTCAGTGTCCAACAGCTTTACCGGATATGCACATTATACTGGGACGACTGTTATAACACCCGAAGTGTGTCTCAAGAGGTAATAACGAGCATGCGCGAACTCATGACAGAGGAATCCAACGATGCAGACAGCAATTCCTTCTTGTTGGATGATAATTCCAGGTAACTCTTTAGCTCGATATTCAATGTATATAAATATACAATAATGTAGTGTAGGCTCTGATAGTACAAGTGGAAACTATATATAACATGTATTCTCGCTTATTTTCCCGCAGCATTCCCTTCTCAATCGACGAAATATCGAGTTCGATGCAAGAAAAAGACTTTGCGAGTGTCAAGCCTGCAAAGGAGCTTCTGGACAATCCAGACTTCGTCTTCTTGCACTAGTTTCTTTGGGATTCTAAAAAGCTTTTCCTCTGTTTTTTAGTCTGAGGTGGAGGGGAGGGGTGCTATCTTGAACCAAAAGGAAAGAAGACGGAACAAAGTGTAAATTTTCATTTGTTGTGGGGCTGTTTCTTGCAAAACCCCTGTAATTCTCACCAATTCATTCATTTATTGTTTTTTTCACAAACATTTCTCGATTCATTTTTATACGGATGTTATAGTATATTTTTGTTTAATTCACACTGACCAGGCAATTTAGTGACTGCAACTGTGTGATGAAGTTCATTTGTTGTTGTACGCAATTTATTTTTATAAACGTGTAATGTAGAATTAACATTTGTAGTTATATAATTGCAATAAAAATAAGATTATGTAACAGTTAATATGGTTAAATTTTGTGAATGTGAACCTTCTTCCTGGGGGCGTTCTGAGAGATATTAAGAAAATATCAATATGTATGGAAATTAATTAAAAATAATAATTATATTCTAAGAAAATAGAAAAGAGTTATATGAAGACAACCCTTTTTTGGACTTGCATATATAAGAACCTTAATATTATTTTGCTCTGTCGCATCGTCCAGGTTTGATTAAATCTCCAATCAGGCAATTACATCTTCTTAGGAGAAACTGATACAGTAAATTAGTTCAAAATAAAAATAAACTAGTCATCCTTCTTTCGTCCTGTTGTAAAGACCGTCGGGATCTCTTACCGTAAAGTCTTAGATTTGGGAATCGAAATGTTTAGGTAACGTAACCTAGTTATGGAATCTTTGAGTCGACTAGAAACCCTAATTTCGGGCGGACTTGTCTTGTGTTTGGACGCCATCAGAGCTGGTCTTGCGTGATTGAGTAATTGATTCGCGTTAGGGACTCTTATAAACTACTTTTTAAGATTCTGATTAATTCTTATTTCTCCGGCCCGTTTCACTTGGTGACATTATAATTTTTAAATTACCAACTTGGTCGATAATGCAATTACGTATTTGCTCAACTATGGACAGTTTGCTCGTTAGCTTAAGGCCTTAAATTAAACTACCCTGACACTGACACAATTATGTATATATGTGGGTTTTATTTTATGTATCATTTTGTAAATGCATGCATACATGCATAAATACTATCATACACGTATAAGAAACAAGTTTGACTTTGTAGTTGAGGAATCCAATCAGTGGTTAAGGCAAAATTTATGATAGATCGATCTCGTCACATGCAATCATGCATTACCCTAAACTTGCCATTATTAATTATAGGGGCCCTTAATTATATCCGACTTTAATTAACGTTATTTTACATGAAACTTAATTATTCACATGAACATCTTTATTTACTTACACCAAAACACCATATCTCTCTGACTCTCTCTCTATATATCGTCAGAAAGATTGTAACTACAAAATATGATCAGAAAAATTTAGAGCATAATTATTTTGAAAAACAAAAACGTATACTTGATTGGATTTAATGTACGTACCACGGCCGGCCCATAGGCTAAGCCACCAAAGCCAAGGATTAAGGCAGTTAAATTTTAAGGGCATTATTTTAAATTCCTTATTAGGATTAGTTACTTAGAGATATTTTTTTTAAATATCTTCCTTATTTGAATTAGTTCTCTATTAATGTGATAATATATAATTTATTTTATTTTATAATAGTAATGTTTATAAAGTTTTTGTTAGCAATTTTATGATCTTTTGTATTAACAAACATGCTAATTAAGTTTTGTTGTTTTTATTAACTAAATTCTGAAAATGGAGAATTGTTATACAAACACCAAGTAAAATACCAAGTATCAATATCAGAAAAAAATTCAGAAGCCTATTGAAGTGCTTAATTTTATGAAAAAATGGAGGATTGTTATACAAACACCAAAATTGATTGTTCTATTTTATTGATTATTTTGGTATCAGTTACCATGACTAAAAGAAATTTCTTTAAAAATTGAAGAACCTGATTAAAAATTATATGTAGTGTACGATAATAGAAAAAAGATTGAATAGGTTGGTTTTGTTATTGATTGAGATAACTATGATTAAAAAACTAGATTATGTGAGCTTAATGAATGATTTTGTAAGCAAAATGCAAAGAGTAGTAATTTTTATAAAATAATTATTTTTTACTATTTTTTTTTTGTAAGTTATTTATGAACTGAGATCGTTTGTTTAGAATTAGATTTTTTTTATAAAGTTTTAACTATAGTTTATTTTTTAGTTTTTATGATATCAAATATAATATATAAAAGAGCATATTTTTTAAATTCGAATAGGGCATCCAAAACTATCAGACCGGCATTGACACTGGTACGTACAGATGTATTATGGTATTAGTATACGATAAAAAGGTCCAAAAGGTGATCATGGATTCAATCTTCGAACCAATTTAGACTTTAGAGTTAACCAATAACTATATAAATTTCATTATCTCATTTCTTAAATTGACATTCCTAATAATCAATAAGACTATTATATTCACACTGTGAGCAGCTTTTGGGTAGAAGCCATGTGAACATACACAAGCCTTTTGGAGTATCTACGAGGGTCCCTTTTCAGAGAAACGATCACTGAACCTATAAGTACCTAACCTTAAGAATAACAATTTATGTATACAAAGACATTACTATATAACTCTTATATAATATGGGCGACGTACCACCAACCTCAAAAATTTCATGGATAAATGAAGTTCACAATTAGAATATGATATATATAGACATATATATGTATACACTGTATATACATAATTTTCTTCTAAATAAATTTTCAGTAAATCTCATAATATGTATCTATACTAACGTATTTAAATCTATGTCATACCAACGTGTAACGATGTATTCAAGAGACTTTGAATTTTTTTTTTAAAAATGTTCTTAATTTCTGTGCCTTTTTTTTAACAGCACTTAATCCCTGTGTATATATATCTGATTATATAAAGAAAAATGATTTTTTAAAAATGTAAAGTTATGGGGAAAATGTTGGTTTATATATTTTAGTTAATTTCTCCACCAATTCGAATTTACGCCTACCTTTTATTTTATAGTCTCATCGTTTACGTCTACGTGACTATTCTCGAACCTCGCTAGCTTCCAAACAAATAGTTATTCCAATAATCATATCATTTTTATAATCGATGCACAATAAGACATGAACTTTACACATATAGTCACTCACATAGTCTGTTTATTTGCAAATATTCTGGAATATGGACAGAAATGAATGAAATAATTAAACCTATTCTTATTTACCTATTATACAGATTCATGCACATGTCTGTATATGTCATTTCCCCATGAATATTTTTTTTCATCTTCTCTATTTTGAAGTTAGTGGATTACATCCATGCATGCATATATACTTGTACTTCCCAGAAGTATTATATATATGTGCCACAAAATTTTATGGTTTCTATGACTTTCTAGAATCAAGGTACGTTGTGATATTTATTATATACGCCTATTTTATTTGCAGGTGTATTTTTATATGATAAAAAGAAATAGTAACATTGCATTTGAGGAAATGAGTGCCATCGCAAACTTAATTTTATTTTTCTCAACGAAAGACTTCGATTACTTTTGTCTTGTGTATTACATGGAATTGGCATTATTCTAACAACGTCCACTTTAATTGGAAAAAGATGCAATAAACTTCCAACTATTCCCTTTGGTGAAACCTTTTATCAAAATAAAGAATAACTATTATTCCCTTTGGAGATTAAATAAGATATTATCATGCAAGCTTCAAGAAAATTAATATAAAAGTTAAAATTACCTGAAAGGGCAAAAAAACAAAAGAGAAGCTTTAAAAAGATAATCGCAATAACAAAGTTGGTTTTATTTTAAGAAAGTTGCAGCAAATTGATTTGATGTGGTTTACTGGTTAGGTAGTCGGCGGAGGAGTTTAAAAGTGGGCCACAATTGGATCCACTCTTGACTCATCACCATCTCCACGTGGTTGAGTATTTGTCAGCATGATGTGCCACGTGGATTTATATGACCAATGATTGAATTAAGTTGGAAGATTTTAATCATTCTATTTGATTTAGTACTAATGATTAAACCAGTTGGCTTGACGACAAAAAAAAAAACCAGTTGGCTCATTTTTAAATAGAGCCATAAAAAGCAACAAACTCTCTAATCAATATATATCCACACTACACAACCTCTGAATGGTAGTTTAATTGCCACTAGAGCTGAATAATTCTTCATTTGTTTTCGACTCATTAGATTATTCTTTTTAAATAACAAAAGAATAGCTAGTAGTTTAGTTTCCTATAGTATTTTTTGACACATTTGCACGTCAGTTTATATAATGCAATCACCGAAGAAAAATAACATAAACTCTTTTGGTCGAAAAAAAACATCTCAAACTATTTTTGATGAACACATATATGATCATATTTAAATTCATAAATACGACTAAAGTTTTATTATTTACCTTCATTGTATATGAATAGCATATATATTAATTATGCTACGAATACGTACATATTGATTATACGTGTTATTTAAACTCATCAATTTGCATGTTTTTTTTTGAACATTTGCTATCAATTTGCGTAGGTACACGTGACTCGTGGATTGGACCAAATTTTAGATGATGTATGTGTCTACAATCTCAAATAATTTTTGTAAAAAAACGAATGGGGATCAAAAGTAAAAATCATTGATCATATTAAAAAGGGATCAATTGATTAATGATTCTTTTATCAGCAACAAATATAAACAAAGACGACGGCATATGGTTAAGGGTTTTTGTGAGACACTCTTCGCTAATCAAAGTCACACAAAAAAGTATGCAATAAGAGAATCGAATAATTCTATTTTCTATAGAAAAAAGTCTAAACAATGTTAAATTATTTCGCATTTTAAGCAAAAGCATGTTGACAAAAGTTAGGTCGTTAATATAATATTGTATACAAATAATTCACACTGATAAAAAATAATCAATCCATAGAACCCGCAAATCACATGCAGTCTCTTCATAACTCGACTCCTATATATACATACACATCTTCTCCCTCCAAATCCAAACCAACAGATCTCATTTCTCATACAACAAACACAGTCTGAACAAACAAACAAAAAAAAGAATAATTCACTTTCACTACCCTATACTTTCAAATCGATCAAAACCCACCCCAAAATCATACTTGTTTCGATTCAAACCCACTCCCAAAAATGGAGAGTATGTTTAGACTCATGGCAAGTGAAGAATATCTCTCAGATCGTCGGTGTATTTGGGTCAATGGACCGGTTATTGTTGGAGCCGGTCCATCCGGTTTAGCTACGGCGGCTTGTCTTCGTGATCAAGGAGTCCCATTCGTCGTGGTCGAGAGATCAGATTGCATAGCTTCACTATGGCAAAAACGAACCTACGACAGGCTCAAGCTTCACTTACCCAAGAAATTCTGTCAATTACCGAAAATGCCCTTCCCGGATCACTACCCTGAATACCCAACAAAACGACAGTTCATCGATTACCTTGAGTCATACGCAAACCGGTTCGAGATTAAACCGGAGTTCAATAAATGCGTTGAATCTGCTCGATTTGATGAAACCAGCGGGCTATGGCGAGTTAGGACGACCTCAACGACGGCCGCCGGAGAGGAGATGGAATATATTTGCAGGTGGTTGGTGGTGGCGACGGGAGAAAACGCTGAACGTGTTGTGCCCGAGATTAATGGGCTTAAGACTGAGTTTAACGGAGAAGTCATTCACGCGTGTGAGTATAAGTCCGGCGAGAAATATAGAGGAAAGAGAGTTCTTGTCGTCGGATGTGGAAACTCCGGCATGGAAGTCTCTCTTGATCTTGCTAATCACAATGCTATTACTTCCATGGTCGTTAGAAGCTCGGTAAGCAAAATATAATATTATTTTAAAAATCTTTATGAGATTTAAATAAACTAATCGTGTTAATGTTAATTCGACCAGGTTCATGTATTACCGAGGGAAATTCTTGGAAAATCAACATTCGGAATCTCAGTGATGATGATGACTTGGCTACCTCTATGGCTCGTAGACAAACTTCTCTTGATCTTATCGTGGCTGGTTCTAGGGAGCTTATCAAAGTATGGTCTCAAGAGGCCCAACATCGGCCCAATGGAGCTCAAAAGCAAGACGGGAAAGACGCCGGTTCTCGACATCGGTGCTCTGGATAAGATAAAGTCCGGCGACGTAGAAGTTGTTCCTGCAATCAAACGCTTCTCACGTTGCCACGTGGAGCTCGTAGATGGTCAGAAGCTAGATATCGATGCCGTGGTTCTCGCAACCGGTTATCGCAGCAACGTCCCTTCTTGGCTTCAGGTGAGAAAAAGTTTAATAGTTTTTTAAACACGGTGTTGATATTATGTTTCTTGCTAAACAATAGTTAAACTAAATTCTTTTTATTTTATTTTTTCCTTAAACAGGAAAGTGAATTCTTTTCGAAGAATGGGTTTCCGAAATCGCCGTTTCCAAACGCGTGGAAAGGGAAATCGGGTTTATACGCGGCCGGGTTCACGAGAAAAGGATTGGCCGGAGCATCTGCAGACGCCGTTAACATCGCTCAAGACATTGGAAATGTGTGGAGAGAAGAGACAAAACGACAGAGGATGCGAAGAAACGTGGGTCACCGCAGATGCATCTCAGTTGCTTAAGCCTCAAGTTAGGGGTCTTTCTAATATAACCAATATTTTATTTATTTGTACAAAAAAATAAATACTACAAAGAAAACAAATGTACAATAGAGCCCTCTCCTGAAGTCCCCTGACAGTGTCATTTTTATTACCCCACTGCATGGGAAATTTTGTAAATTAGGATGACGTGGCTCTCGCTTTTTTTGTATAAACTTAATTTATACAGTAATTAAAATGATTTTTGGTAATACTTTTTTGTAGTAGTTGAAGTAATTTTTTTTTATTTTTTGTAGCACTGAAACAAATCAGAAATAGGAGGAACTGTTCGTCGAAACTCGTCGAAACTCGTCGATGGTCCCATTATTAATTTATTATCATCCCAAATCAAATTATATAAAAAGTTAATTTTGGGCCCAGAGGCCCAGAATAGCTTTTTGGGCTTGAGTTAACCTTCGCACCAAAAAAAAAGGATCGAGTCAACCTAGTTTCAACCTGACCCGGTCTGATCTAATCTGGTCCTAATTGAAGAACACCTTGATTCGGTTATGAGCTTTTCCGAATCAATAACATGGCTCGTTCGGTTTAAATCAGATGAAAAAGATGAAAAATCCCGAAGGAAGAAGAACAGAAGAACCCTTATAATTTTTCTCCATTTCCCTTCTCTCACTCGATAAACCCTAATAGAAAAGCACAAGGTAGAAAAGTTTCCAGATTTCGCTTTGTCACAGACCTCAAATAGTGATGGAATCAGGCAAGGCGGGTTCGACGGCAACTAATAGTGGGGAAGCGGAGAAATCTCTCAAGGATAAAGGCAACGAGTTCTTCAAAGCTGGGAACTACCTTAAAGCCGCAGCTCTCTATACTCAAGCCATCAAGCTCGATCCTTCTAACGCTACTCTTTACAGGTATTCCCAGATTTCATATTTTTTACTTTCTTCTTCAGTATTCGCAGTTTTTACGATTCCTATTGGGTTTCGATCAAATTGATAAGTTCATGTTCAAACCAGTATCCGAGATTTCTCCAATTTTTGGGTTTCGATGGGTTTCCATCAGTTTGTGCTGAGCTCTTAGAAGATCTGGTTTTGGTTCTCTTGTGAAATGCTAGACCTGAGAATGATATTGTTTGTTGATCCTTAATGCCATACAACATTTCAGTTATCTTTCAGAAAATCAATTGTGGGATTTTTTTCAAGGTTTTATGAAATGTTGCTCAGAGCAGAATACTAAAGTGGATCAGTGAGCATGTTTTAGAGTGTAGTAAAGCTTTTCTTCATCCCTTGCAGTAACCGGGCTGCTGCATTTTTGAATCTAGTTAAGCTTAGCAAAGCCTTAGCTGATGCAGAGACAACCATCAAACTCAACCCACAATGGGAGAAGGTAAATCCAAACAAGAGATGCTTTTTGTCTTGTTTTGTTTGGTTTCTGTTTCTTCCACGATGACTGATAATATCTTCTGATCTATCTTCTCCAGGGATACTTCAGGAAAGGTTCTGTGCTTGAAGCCATGGAAAAATATGAAGATGTACAGTTATTCTCTTGTTTTGGTCTTTTCTTTTCCTTTTTTTAAAAAATGTTTCCAAAGCTGTAATCATGGTAGTTAAAATCTCTTTGATGATTGTGACAGGCCTTGGCTGCATTTGAAACGGCTCTACAGTACAACCCACGGAGCGCAGAAGTTTCTAGAAAGATCAAGAGGCTCGCTCAGTTGCAGAAGGAGAAACAGAGAGCTCAAGAACTCGAGAATTTGAGATCTAATGTCAACGTGGCCAAACATCTTGAAAGCTTTAAGTCTGAAATGGTTAGTTTTTGTTTACTCCATGTGAAATCAATATATGCCTTTCTTGTTGCTTATTCAACTAAGATTCTGAAATTTAATTGTCCCCATATGAACAAAACACTCGCAGTCTGCAAACTATGGAACCGAAGAGTGTTGGAAAGAGATGTTTTCTTTTCTTGTTGAGACTATGGAAACAGCTGTGAAGTCGTGGCACGAGACATCTAGAGTTGACACTAGAGTCTATTTCCTTCTTGACAAAGAGAAAACACAAACGGATAAGTACGCACCAGCAGTCAACATTGATAAGGTATAAAGAAGGACATGACCCAACTTAAGATCATACGAGAAGAAAAAAAAAACAATACTTTCTTGTCTGCTGCCTAAAACGATTTCTTCCAACACAGGCTTTTGAGTCACCAGACACACACAGTAACTGCTTTACATATCTGAGGCAATACGCAGAAGAGTCGTCTTCCAAAGCTGCTTGCTTGGTATCATCAAAGAGTAATATATCCTACCCACAGGTGAATCAAATCTGACATTTTCTCTTTGCTTGCTAAAATTCCATTTTACTGGTTTTTATATTATGGAGTGATGATGAAACCGTGTCTTGCAGGTGTGGAAAGGTCAAGGCTCAAGGAAGTGGAAACTCGGGCAGAACGATGGAATCTTTGTTCAGTTTGAATCACCTTCTCTTCGAAATGTTTGGTTCATTCCTAGCTCGAAAGAAAAGGAGCAAACTTTATGCAGGTTCTTTTCTCTCTCACGTATCCTCTTCTTGATTTTGCAAATTGCAATGAGCTTTATGAATTTGATGAGATACCATGACTTCACGCAAGCTATTTTTTTTTGTTTTTTATGGAGATTCAAATTTGATAACTGTGACTCAGAAGCATTTAAACTGATTGGGGTTTTGATTTCAGGGATCCGCAAGCTCTAGATATCGGCGTACATGAGATTCTCCCTCGCATTTTCAAGGAAGTATCGAAGAGCTCATAGGGCATTGTTTTGTTGCTGTATGTTTCTCTATATCATCCAGTTTTTGATCAAGACTGATAAAAGATAAGAGTGAGTTCCTTGTGTGTTTGCACTACTCAGAAAATCCACCACCTTTTGTTTTCTTCTTATTTTAGAGCCTTTTTATTTTATTTTATTCAGGATGCCTTTAATGTTTCTTTGTGTTCTTTCAAGACTTCAACAAAAAGATCCTTTCGTGAGCTAAATGTGTGGGCACTATTTTATACACCACGTTCATAATCCGGACAGGCACTCTTTACTATATCATCCACTCTTTATTTCAAAATTGAATTGGCCCATAGAGCCCATAAAAACAGTTGGCCCAAATTAGTTTGTTTGAGAGCTGAAGAAAGTAAACGGGCCTGAGATTTATCAAAGGAAGTAATCGGCCACACTCCACTCCACCGACAACCGACGGTTCAAAGACGGTAGCTATCAATTTGACTACATTTCGATCGAATCATCCCAAACCCATTCCCCCCCCCACGTAGACTAAGTAAATGTAAATACTTATTAGTCTTTTCTTTGAAATAAAAAGTTGGGACATTTTGGTTTTGATAAAAAGAGAGGTGAAAATAGAATAAAATTAGTCACGTTTTAGCAATAAAACAAGAACTGGTTTGAAATGAACCTATACAGAAAATAAATAAATAAAGTTATGCCCTCTTGCATAAAAAGAAAAGAGAAAACGTATGAATCCATAAAGTATACTAATGAGAATTTGGTGGGAATTAAATTGGTAGCACGTAGCATGTAGCTTTCGAAATTAGGAAAACACATTCTAACTTCATTTTAAAATACAGAAGTGTTGATGGAAATTTTGCAACAACCAACTTATAATTATTATTTTGGCTCTCACAAAAATACTTATAGTAATTATCAGATTAAATGGTATATCATATTAAATATTTTGTCTGGAAATGAGAATTACGTAGGAAAAAAGTTTTCAACATTAAAAAGGAGATTACAAAATAGATAAATAAATAACGCGTCCTCTCTCTCTCTCTCTTTCTCTAAACCCTTGGTCTCGAAGCATTTCGTTTTCAGTTTGAATCTTCAATTTCTCTCAGATTTAGATCCAGAGAAGAGATCAGAGCAGCATCTTTGCATTGTTCGTCCCTTAGTTTGTAATGCTGTTGACCTTAATTAGAACCCACTCGAATTACGCGATCGATTGACTCGCTCTATTTTGGATCCTTGTTGACTCGGCGAGGTCGGTCACCAGAAGCGCGCGCAGGGATCAAGGACCATGGGAGGTGCGCCTTCAACGCCTCGAAACACCGGTGGTGATGATGTTTCGCTGGCGGAGTACCTCATTGCGACTTTTGTCGGGGAGAAATCGTTTCCCTTGGCGTCTGATTTCTGGAACAAGCTACTCGAGCTTCCGTTGAGTTCTCGGTGGCCCAGTGATCGGGTTCACCAAGCCTGCGAACTTTTCGGTTAGTGATTTTCATGCCAAATGTGTTCAATTCTACTCTTTCGCGAGCCTATTTCGTTGCATCTTCCACGGATTTTTGCTCTTCGGGTAACTGAAATAGAAAATCGTCGTCGCATTATCTGATGGTTGGCTTGAGTGTAGTTCCTTATATAGGTTAGGATTATAAAGGATGTGTGTGTCGATTTCACTATGCGCTAACGAATTGGAATGTTAATGACGATCTAGTGAATGTAGGAAGATAGTTTGAAGTCTGACGATCTTTTCTCGACATCCTTTTTTTGTTTCCTTTTGCAGCACAAAGCAATGGCTACACTAGGCACCTTGCAAAACTATTGATTCATCTGTCGTGGTGTTTGCAAGAGCTTCTCCAAGCTTCTGATGCTCAGACTTCTATCTATAAGAAAGCTGTCAATGCGACATATATTGCATCCGTCTTTTTGAAGCATTTGATTGAGAATGGGAAAAGTGACAGCCTCCAGGATTTGCATCTCTCTCTCGACGGAAGTGAGCCAGTTCCGCATGGCTTTGTAATGGGTAGATGACTCTCTCATAGTTCTTACTTACTAATCTTGCTTGAATTGGCTCACTAAGAGTGTATCTATGGCAGATCAAGACATCCAGAATTTTGTAATGCATAGTGTGCTGAGCTTCATCGGAGCAGCTGAAGTGAGGTCTGCCATGCTTACTCTATGTTTGATATGTCCCTATAGATTTTAGTATTGAATGTTCCGTTCTCCTGATTTTCATTATTTATTTGGCAAGTCCCAACTCGTATGTTCTACATCAGGAACTTCTGAACTTCATGCTTGTCACAATGTCGACACAGCTTCTCTCCGGACCATCACCTGCACCAATAGATGCGAACCCTTTCATTGATGCAGCAATGGCGCAGGTAACAAACTTATTTGCTTTTTTCTCGTCTGTCTCATAGAATTTTCACCCGTTCGTTTGCTTCAACAATTTTGCAGGAAAAGTCTCTAGTTTGTCTGGCGGTTACAAGATTGTTACTTAATTATATTTCCCGACACCGTACTCCTACAAATGCAAAACCCTATTTATATTCTGATGGAGATTCACCAGGCATTTTGGAAAGAGTTGGTTCTGCAGCTGGTTGGTATTCGTATTACTTCATACATTTATCATTGTACATTATGTTTTCGTCTTGTCTGTGCTTACCTTTTTCTATTGCCTTTCTGTTTCATTATGTTTTTATACTTAGTTTCGTGAAACATTCCATGTATTCATGAAAACTTTTCTTTTGCATATGCAGCGACATTTGTGCTCTTGCCTTTGAACTATCTTGTAAATAGCAGCGGTGACGGATCTAAAAATCCACTAGCGGAGAGCAGCCTTCATGTTTTGCTCATCCTCATTAACTACCACAAGTCTATCATGAGTGACGAGTCTATGACGGATAAAAGTGATGACAGTGCTACTTCAGAATCAGTTTCTAAAGCGCATGTATTTTCCTCTGGCAATACTTTTAGCAAGGCTCTAGCAAATGCTAGAGATGTCGAATGTGAGCATTCTTTTTCTTCCTCTTTCTGAGCATGGCAAGTCCTAAGTGTAAATCTAAACTGTTTTCCTTATTGCAGTTGACCGCTCAGATGTGGAGGGAAATGCCCACCCTGGTCCACATGTTCGGATACCATTTGCTTCTTTATTCGACACTCTTGGCATGTAAGTTGTATTTTCTTGAGTTTGTTTTTCTCTACAGTACATTGTGTTTTTAGAGATGTATCCTGTATCAAAGTCTTAATTCAGTAAGTTCTTTGCTATTGGTTAATGACGCAATCTGGCACTGTAGGTGTTTGGCTGATGAGGGCGCTGTCTTGCTCCTTTACTCATTGTTGCAAGGGAACTCAGACTTTAAGGAGTATGTATTGGTGCGAACTGATATGGATACTATGGTATGATTCATAAACTCCACTCAGTGTGCCTGTTTCATTTCTTTTGTTTCATTATCCTCAAAAGTGGAATCCATTCCTCAGCTTTGCTAACCCTGGACTGTTTTATTTGTTGAGTTAAAGTTCTTATGGTTAATATCAATGATCTATGGTTTAAAAATAAATAAAAAATTTGATGGACAGTTGATGCCCATTCTGGAAACGCTGTATAACGCTTCGAGGAGAACATCATCCAATCAAATATACATGATGCTTATTGTACTTCTCATACTTAGTCAGGATTCATCTTTCAATTCAAGCATTCACAAGATGGTACGTCGTCCTGTTTCCAATTGTAGGATTGAACTGATTTTTCTGAACTTCAAATATATTTCTGATTATGTTTCTTCTGAATAGATACTGCCTAGCGTTCCATGGTACAAGGAGCATCTCCTTCATCAGACGTCGCTTGGTTCCTTAATGGTCATTATTCTCATAAGAACAGTGCAGCACAACCTTTCTAAACTGCGGGTATAGCTTTAGATTCATATATTAGCAACGAAAAATGTGTGTTTTCAATATGTCCTTCATAACGTCTTCTCTGGGTAGGTTCATGCCTTATAAGAGTGTAATCAAGTTCAAATCTTAGCCAGATATCAAATTATGTATCAAGTTCAAATCTTAGCCAGATATCAAATAATGTATAAAAAATCTTTCCGTTTAGGGTGGGTGGTGTTAAACATATATTAACACGTCTATACAGTGTAGAATGAACCTCTGTGACAAATTTTGTTTCTTGGGCTTTCACAGGATGTGTATCTGCAGACTAATTGCCTTGCAACCTTGGCTAACATGGCACCTCATGCCCATCACTTAAGTGCATATGCCTCACAGAGGCTTGTCAGCCTTTTTTACATGCTTTCTCGAAAGTATGCAATTAATTCCTTGTCTTCGATGACTTTGCATATTCTCTATCTGTTTTGTATAGAATTATACTCATTATGGATCCTATTTAACTGAACATGAATTGTTTAACACAGGTATAACAAATTATCGGACTTGACAGGTGATAAGCTGCAAAGTATCAAAATAAGATTGTCAGGAGAGGACGATGGCGTTTCAGAAGATCTGGTAAGGCATAGTTAGTTCAACCACACAATAAATCGTCGTTGTCCTTTTATTTCTAGTTTATATGTTACATGTGTTTTGCCAACTTGCAGGCAGCAGAGTTGCAGATCTTTACAGATTTCTTGAGACTTGTCCTGGATATATTAAATGCGATTTTGACGTATGCATTGCCTAGAAATCCCGAGGTATCACATTGTCATTTTTTTCTTGGCAGCATGAATCATATATTCCTTTCCCGGTTTTTTCCTGCTCTGAATCAGTCTGTGATTCTGGTTTCTGCAGGTTGTCTATGCAATAATGCATCGGCAAGAAGTGTTCCAACCTTTCAAGAACCATCCGCGATTTCATGAGCTAGTGGAAAATATTTACACAGTATGCTCCATCATCACAGTAGAAAGAAGAGAGTATCTGATTGATTCACTTGGCCTGACTGATGATCATTTTCTCTATTTAGGTGTTAGACTTTTTCAACAGCCGCATGGACTCTCAAAGATCGGATCGCGAATGGTCCGTGCAGAAAGTTCTTCAGTTCATCATTAACAGTTGCCGGTCTTGGCGAGGCGAAGGCATGAAGGTAAGCAAACTCGAGCACATACATGCATTGATATGATATTTCCTTTGTCACGAAAATCCTTTAAAAACTCATATCTTTCGTTCATTAATACCGCCGCAGATGTTTACTCAACTTCACTTCTCATATGAACAAGAGAGCCACCCAGAAGAGTTCTTCATCCCATACGTTTGGCAATTAGCTTTTTCCCGATGGTAACACACTTTCACGCTACTTTTTTCACCACGATGCCTTAACGAAGGGCACCGATCTCATTTCTCTTTCACCTTTCTTTTTTTTATACGCAGCGGATTCAATTTTAATCCGGACGCCATCAACTTATTCCCAGTGTCACACCAAATTGAAGTAAGTACCAAATTCCATCCAACAAATTGCTTTTTAAAAAATTGGAGTTTGTCTTAACGGAATTATGCGCAGCAGAAACAGATAGAAGCCGGAAGAGGAGAAGAAGAGGAAGGGAAAGAGAAGCTGCAAGAGTTGAGCGACCAGAGAATCGTCTTCGATCCTTAGTATTTTTCGTTATAGGAGGAGAGTTTGGTTTGGGCGTGTGTATATATAAATATTTATACGGTTGAGGTTTCAAATAAGATCATTCTAAAAAGCCGAATCTATTCTCCGAAGTTTGTTCCTTTTCTCTTATTATTTTGTAGGTTTCAGTTGATAGATTTCAATCCGTTAATAGTTTACTCTCTCTCTTGTGTAATAAGTAACGAATGGAGTTTCAGCGAGTCTGAAAGGTAAAATGCCCTTAACAAATCATATATGTACCTTTCACACAAGCTATTAAGGAAGTAATTTATCAGCTTAAAGTATTTCGGAGTTCATATAAAACATCATTAGTATTTACAAATCATTTTTATCTAATTTAATTATAGAAACGTATAATCTAGATAAAGCAATATAGCCCACACTTAATCGCACAATATACTTAAAAAGAACACCTTTTTATCTAATTTAATTATAGAAACTTACCATTTAAAACAAATGTTCCTTTTTCACTCTTGCCTTAAGCGCGTGAATGGATTCATAATGCTGTCGGTAACAAAATACATTAGATTTTACAATTTTCAGATACGTTGTATTTTTCTGATACGTCTTGTCGTGAATCTAGGGTTTCTCTCCCTCTCTCCCTCTCTCTCCTTCGATGGTTTCGAGCGCCTCCATCTCTCTCCATCTCTCCATCGCCTCTGGGCTCGATTCCTCTCCTTGGGCTTCTAATTAAAGTTTGATTCTTACGCATACCTCACAGATCTCCTCTTTCTCTGAGAGCTTTTGCGAGTTTTAACCTATTTTTCACTTTCTAGCTTTGAATTTCTTCGATTTCGGTTCTCCGGCATTCGGAATTGCTGCGACGAGATCCAATGGAGGTCTCTGGTTTGCGCGGCACTTCATCGGAAGCCATTAGACGCGGTGAAACGGAAGCGAAGAACAAAGAGCCTGATAATTTAATCGAGGATGCGCAAATTCATGGAGGTCGCGAGAGTGATTCTACCATTAGTAGCGTTATAAGTTTAGAGGATGAGTCGGTGGTTGATGTTTCCGGTCAACATCTGGAGCTTTCTCTTCTGGATAATGCGGATGATTCGGTGAAAGGTCTCTACTTGTTTAGAAACGTCTTCAATTTGATCCCGAAATCGATTGGAGGGCTTGGGAGGTTGAAAAAGCTGAAGTTTTTCAGTAACGAGATTGATCTGTTTCCGCCGGAGTTTGGGAATTTGGTGGATTTGGAATACCTTCAGGTGAAGATCTCGTCACCGGGTTTTGGCGACGGCTTGTCGTGGGACAAGCTTAAGGGTTTGAAGGAGCTCGAGCTTACGAAAGTCCCAAAACGGTCTTCTGCTTTGACCCTCTTGAGCGAGATTTCTGCTCTCAAGTCCTTGACAAAGCTCTCTGTTTGTCACTTTTCCATCAGGTAAAAGCTTCGCCTTTTATGCTCTGTTTCTTCAGTTCCAGTTTCTTCATGCCTTATCTCCTGGGCTTCTCAGCTTCCTGTCGGCTTTTGACAATTTCGGTTGTGGATCCGTGTAGAGTTTCAGGAAACGTAAGTTAGAAAACTATTGATGCTCTTTAATGCGATGTATTTAGCATGCCTATAGGTGGATATTTCACTCTTCTTACGTTTGATGTTCAATTTGATATCTAGAATGTTAATAACGTTTTTGTTTGGTATGTGAATTTGGTTGGATTTTGGTTTGAGTTCAGGGTATTCATTCCTACACGCTGCTTCGAATTATGTTGGACTGGATTTAACTTTGTCTTCTCACATGTTTCAGATATCTTCCCGCAGAGATTGGATGTCTTAAGAGCTTGGAGTATCTGGATCTTTCCTTTAACAAGATCAAGAGTTTGCCTAACGAGATAAGCTATCTGAGTTCGTTAACGTTTTTGAAGGTCGCTCACAACAGGCTGATGGAGCTATCACCGGTTATAGCTTTATTACAAAACTTGGAAAGCCTTGACGTATCAAACAACCGATTAAAAACTATGGATCCTCTCGATCTAAGCTTAATGCCTAGACTCCAAATTTTAAATCTTCAGGTACGTGTCTCTCAGATTTTGCACAACATTGCTTTAATATATCCATATATACTCTGTGCGGGAGTTCACTAGATTCTTTAATCTGACAGAGCTTCTTGTGTTTTCTGTTTGTTTCAAGTACAACAAGCTCCCGAGTTATTGCTGTATTCCCGCATGGATACAATGTAATATGGAAGGAAACTATGAAGAGATGGGAGTTGATACTTGTAGCTCTATGGTTGAAATGGATGTGTATGAAACTCCGTATGAAAACAATGCCATAAGTGTTCCTCATAAAGGTGAGAGTTTAATATTTCTTTCCCTCGCAGCTGTGCTGTGTGTGCCTTAAAAAACTGAGAGTTTGATACTTTTTTTGCTTATAAACTTTATTGGTTATACTGAATGGGGAATTCTCTGTTTCTTGTTTTTGCACGCAGGTGCAGGCTCCCACCGTAACCCATTAAATATGTCAACTGGGGTCTCTTCCATCAGTAGATGCTTCTCGGCTCGAAAATCAAGCAAGAGGTGGAAGCGGAGACAGCATTACTTCCAGCAAAGGGCAAGGCAAGAGCGATTGAACAACAGCAGGAAATGGAAAGGAGAAATCCCTCAGGAGGGGTTAAATCTGAAGATGGACATAGTCGAAGAAAGTGGAGAACAGGGCATGGATGTTCCCCAGAAGAATGACAAAGGTTCAGTTGATAGCATCTGCTTGGATGACAATGATAAACTTTCAAAAGAGTCTGAAATAGGAGATTCTGCCATTACTTCTGAAGAGGAAGAGAGCAGTTTGAAAGCTGATTTGGTTTCTGACAGTTCCCGATGTGTGGAAACCCGATTAACGAGCGAAAGAGTTAACAAGGAGTGTAGTGAGATCAAGGTATCTTCTCCCTCTTCAGGAGATACAGAGGGTACTGCAGACTATAATTCTTCTTCAGAGAGAAAGAAACCAAATCACAAGTCGAAGAGATGCCGTGAGAAGTATCTAGATAACCCAAAAAGTTCCAAATGCCATAGGCCATCTACCGATATTGCTGATCTATCTCTCAAATACAGCAACAACTCATTTTGCGGCACAGAGGATTCTCTTCCTGACGGATTTTTTGATGCTGGACGTGATAGGCCCTTTATGCCGCTTAGTAGGTATGAGGAAATTTTGCCTCTTGATTCCCGTGAAGTCATACTCTTGGACAGGTAATTGCTATCACTTTTTGGTTAGATGATAGATCGACTAGAACAATGTTATATATTTATCCAGGGGCTAAAGTTCCAAACTTTGCCTATTTTTGTTATGTTAAGGGCAAAGGATGAAGTCTTGGATGCAATCACTCTCTCTGCTCGAGCCATGGTAGCTAGACTGAAGAAATTGAACTGTTTAACTGCAGATGTAGATCAAGTTTCCATGGACAACTTGCAGGTTGCATCATATCTTGCCCTCTTTGTGTCGGATCACTTTGGGGGGAGTGACAGAACTGCTGTTGTTGAAAGAACCCGGAAGGCAGTGTCGGGTACAAACTACCAGAAACCCTTTATTTGCACCTGTTTGACCGGGAATCAAGACGACATGGCTGATCTTAACAAACAGGTTTCTGCGACAGCTCAAGATGTCATTTTTTCTGATGTGTGTGAAAAATCCCTGCGTTCTATTAAGTCCAAGCGGAACTCTATAGTGGTTCCTCTTGGGAAACTGCAATTTGGCATCTGCAGGCACAGGGCCTTGCTCATGAAGGTATTAGAATTAATCTAATGCTTTAGGTAGGATATCTAAACTCTTTCGTTTCTCTTTAATTCTAATTCTTGTTTTATATTTATTTATTTTGGTTCCAGTTCCTCTGTGATCGTATGGAACCTCCGGTGCCTTGTGAGCTTGTTAGAGGTTATCTAGACTTCATGCCACATGCCTGGAACATTGTTCCTGTAAAGCAAGGTTCCTCATGGGTACGTATGGTAGTTGATGCTTGCCGTCCTCATGACATCAGGGAAGATACAGATCAAGAATATTTTTGCAGGTATAACATTTTTCGTCTATCTTGTTACCAATTTATGTCGTCTGCTAGATTCTCTACCCTGAGTATCTTTTTTCTTTTGATGCATATAGTAATGATCTTTTCTTTTCATTGTCAATGATGTTATATTGTCATGTTTAGAGATTTGGGTACTGAATGTGCCAACTGCATTAATTCTCTGTTTTATTCAGTTGTGTCTGTATATGACCAGTTTTTTGGACAGTTACTTTGTTTCTGTTTGTTTGAAGATGCAATAGAGTTTTGTGCTGAATGACTAATCTCTTTGTTGTATATTCTGATTGCTGTAGGTATATTCCCCTTAATCGGCTTAACGAATCAATTCGCACAAGAGCAGAATTGGAACCAGGATGTTCTATTTCTTCCCTATCAGCTGGCAAGGGAGTAGAAAGAGCTAACAGTAGTCTTATCCGATGCAAGCTTGGCTCCACTGAAGCAGCTGTGAAGGTTTGTTTCTTTACCTTTGTAGTTTTTCTCCAGTTCAGGTTTGAATAAACTTTGCTGAGTAGTTTCATATTTTGCTTTCCTCAGATGCGCACACTCGAGGTTTCTGGAGCCTCCGTAGATGACATTAGGACTTTCGAGTATACTTGCTTAGGAGAAGTGCGGATTTTAGGAGCCTTGAAACACGACTGTATCGTGGAGTTATACGGACATGAGATATCTTCCAAGTGGATAACCACGGAAAATGGAAAGGAACACCGACGCATATTGCAATCTTCTATTCTGATGGAACACATAGAAGGAGGATCTCTAAAGGTAGCGTTCTTTCTTTCTTTCTTTTTTTCAATCTATATATAAAAGTCTCTGTAACATCAATGAAAAATTATCTTCTTGGTTGTGGATTTTCTACAGGGTCACATCGAGAAGCTTACTGAAGCCGGTAAGCACCATGTACCCATGGATCTAGCCTTGTCTATTGCAAGAGATGTCTCAGGGGCTTTAGTGGAGTTGCATTCGAAGGATATAATTCACCGTGACGTGAAAAGCGAAAACGTTCTGATCGATCTGGACAATCAGAGAGCAAACGGAGAGCCTGTAGTGAAGCTTTGTGATTTCGATAGAGCTGTTCCGCTTAGGTCTCACTTGCACGGTTGCTGTATTGCTCATGTGGGCATACCTCCTCCTAATATCTGTGTCGGTACGCCACGATGGATGTCCCCTGAGGTCTTCCGAGCAATGCAAGAACCAAACTTTTATGGACTTGTACGTTTCTCCAAAATTCTTCTTCTTTTTGTTTTGTTCATCAAAGTTTTGTCTTTTCTCGTCTTCTTATGAG